AAGATTTGGGATTCTCCAAGAGCTTCTTTGTCAAGCACTCTTGCTTCTACCTCAAAAAAGCTCGTTTCTTAGATTTCACCAAGTCTTTGTAAAATCTTGTCATAATCAACCGATTGTGAAGATCCAAGGATTTATCAAGTGATCTCGCCCTCGCTTGCTTGCAATCAAAGTAAAACCATCAATTGCAAGGAAGACATCTAGCTCTCCTGGTCTTATGTCTCAAAAAGAACTTAGAAGCAAAGTTTTTGAGCAACTTGATTAGTTGGAAACTAGACGCATGTGGATCAAAGCTCCAAGTAGTACAAGTCAAGAGGTTTTGGAAATGTTCACTATGAAGTTGCCTCTTACTAGCATCTAAACAAAACTTGGGGAAGTAGAAACATAATGGCATGTAGAGAGAGGAATTGACGTTGACAACAAAAGAGTAAATAAAAGAGGTGTATGATCTGATTCTGGTTGAGGCTCTAGAATATCAAACGTTGAGATAAATGAACTATTAGTGGAAGAGTACAAAAGATAATCTATAGTGCTAACACCAATAGAGGAAAAACATGTATTGGAGTGAGAGTTGGGAAAGAAAGAAACACAGAGAACTTTGAAATTACAAGTGGCTCCAAAAGTCAAGAAATGCTCAGTCAAATCATTTGTACAAGGATCACAAGAGACTTTAGACCACAAACTATCTCTACTTTGTTCAAAAGAGGAAGAAGACAAGTAACTATCAAAATGTGTAAATTGAGCAGAACGTATTAGGGCATTGAAGTCTCCAACAAGAAAAACTTCAACTTTGTCTTGATATTTGAGAACATCTCCTATGAGTCGATGGAATGGTTGACTTCGATTGCAAGTGCTTGTGGAGTAAATCTGCATAGATAATGGTGCAAAGTAACAAATTGCCAAATAACTGTAAGATTCTCCAATCAATCCAAGACGAAGCCAATGATATTGTTTCCCAATATCTTGGTTTTTCAAATGTATCATAGGAATAAATTCATATATGATGAAAGTAGCAATGTCTCCAAAGCCCCTTACTGCTCGTCGATTTCTATGGTTCCAAGTAGATCCCACCAAAGTAAACCCTTGTATCTCTCCAATAGCATTACTCTCATGCTCCCAACTGTCAACAATGTTGAGGATGTCCGCCATCTTCCAAATTGGATGTGCATTCACATACTTTGTTGTAGATAGGCCTCTTATGTTCCACATTAACACGCTCAACCTCTTGGATTGCTAGGTTGATGATTGTCTCCTCCTCTTAGTGATAATAGCTTTACTATCACAAAGATAAGCTACAAAACCTACATCTTGAGCTTCTTTGACTTTTGCAAGCTACTTCCTCCTTGTTTCAACTTGAAGAGGTGTTAGATCTGGATCTAACCAAATCCTCCGTCCCTTGAGAATGAACTTGTTAGCTAAAGCCATATCACGTTGAGCTTGATTCACAAACTTAACAATAATGGCATGAGGTTTTGCGCCTTTGTTGCCAATACGATAAGTTTGAGTCAAATTCGGATTAGGAATATCAAGTGTTTCAGTCAAGAACTTGGTGACCACACTCTTCACCTCTTCCTTCTCAGATTCAGGTAGATCAAAAATCCTCACATTCTTTATACGAGCAAATTGATTAGCTTTTTCAATCTCTTGATCTTGACAGAAAGAGATATGAGCAGACCTGGTAACTTCAGCACATGACTTCATTTTCACCTCTAGAGTTTCAACCACTTCATGCAAAGCAGGAGTAGTAACAGTAGAAGCTTGAGAATCAACATTGTCTTGGATGTCCTCAACAGATCCAGAAATTTGGAGCATAATATTCTCAAAACTTTTGTGAGAAATCTTCAACTCCCGGATTTCATTCTTTGTAGTAGCCAAGTCAACATTTTGTGCCTTGAATTCTTGGCGAATCACTTTCAATTCCTCCAAAACCGTTTGCACAAGATTGAGTAGTTTATTTTCAGAATTCATCATGAACTCAACTTTGCCAAATTTTACACAAACTCACGAAAATTTTACACAAACACGAAATGACCACTTCTTGACAGCAGCTCCGTTGAGTCACAAAATTTGCAGGTATGTGCGGCCAGCCGTTTTCAACATGCCCACCAAATTTCAGCTTCAGTTGACACTCCAGCAAGAAGATATGGCCCCTGCAAGATTCTTGCTCCAACCCCTAAACTCAAAGTTTCGAATGACCACTTCTTGACAGCAACTCTGTTGAGTCTCAAAATTTGCAGGTATGTGCGCCAGGCCATCGTCAACATGCCCACCAAATTTCAGCTCCAGTTGACACTGCAGCAAGAAGATATGGCCCCCGCAAGATTCTTGCTCCAACCCCTAAACTCAAAGTTTCGAAATGACCACTTCTTGACAACAGCTCTGTTGAGGCTCAAAATTTGCAGTTATGTGCGCCCGGCCGTTGTGAACAAATCTACCAAATTTCAGCTCCAGTTGACACTGCAGCAAGAAGATATGGCCCCCGCAAGATTCTTGCTCCAACCCTTAAACTCAAAGTTTCGAAAGTTTAGCAGAGTTTTTGAATAACTCAGTTAGTTGCAAAGTAGATGTATGTGGATCAAGTCTCCAAGTAATACGAGTCAAGAGGTCTTGGAAATGTTCACTATAAAGTTGATTCTTACTAGCCCAGTAGAGGTTGACGGTTTTGATTCATTCTAATCTTTAGCATTTAAGGTACAGTTAGAAGTCGGGATGGTATAAGGCCAGTCAATGAACCAAGGCGGTGTGCATTACAATGATACGGTTTTCAATAATAGTCGAGAGTGAGAACAGGGGACACCTACAAGAGTGATTCACTTGTGAGCAAGTGTTATTAGTGATTTCTCGTGTGTAGTTCTCAGTAAACTGAAACCTTGTATTGGCAGGTAAGAAATTCAAGTCTGAAGAAACTAATCTTGGATATATATACTCGAACTGACTTCATTGAGGAGTTCGCGGGTAGTAGGCTTTCAACCTGAAACTACTCAACAAATGCTTGTGTCTCTATTGTGTGTGGACTCTGATTTTCTGTAGGTTATGGGGATTGTAATCACTACATTTGTGAGCAAGAGCCGAGAGGAGAACGGTAGGATTTCTGAGTTCATGTTTTGACACTCTTGCTTCGGTTTGGAAGTTAATTTTGCCCGAAACTCAAAACGTTCATACTCATGCAAGAAACTGCGAAAGCAATCTGCACACTCACTGACGCGAATCGAACACCCAAAACTCGTCATTCCAACACTCATCGCAAGGTTCGAAGATCTCTTAGATTTTACAATCGGATGATTGTCGAATCTAGATTCAACCTGGTGCTATTCTATGGGAATATCACGAGGTTGCATCCTGTGTACTTTCCGATCAGAAGACTCGACGAAAATCTCTCGAAATGATCAAATGGTTTGGAGCGAAGGAGCGTCTGTTATCCACGCCCAAGGTGATATCTGAGATGCTGTAAGACTTCTAGGATTATATATGTTGGCTGCTGTGAGAACCTCGAGCTGAATCTCAGTAAGCTGATACAGCTGGATGAGAGCGGTTCTCCAGGTCCATGAAACTGAACCCTGTGGCCGCTAGATCATGGGCGAGAGATACCCAACATATTCTAAATTAATCTGTCTTCCTGTGGCACAGCTCTAACAATTGCAGACTTCTGGGACGTTCACGCAGATTTTGCTCCTCGAGTTCCACATGTTTTCCACCATGCGTCTACTTGATGAAGCGTGGATGTCCACGACTATCCCGTTTCACCATAACTGGCACTTGTTCTCTGAGTTGCGTGCGCGGAAGCCCTTGAGGCGTTTGATGGTAAAATGCATGCTCCCTTATTCCAAAGCTCTTTGACGCATCTGTACGCAATGGACGCCCGTACAATCCCAGACATCTTAACGAGACCTCCTTGTAATATTCCGATGAGGATTTTCTTGAGCATTTGTGGTTCTTCTTTCACTAAAATCCACATTTGTAACGCCCGTGGATCTCCATCGCATTTCAGAATTGCTTTCGTCAATCAATCGCACAGTATCATTTGCTGTAGCTCTCGAGCTTCAAATTTATCTTCATCTTCGATCATCACTCCTTTGTCATCAGCCATTTAGTTAAATGGCTGAAGGGGCCAATGAAACATTTTACGACAGTCACAGAGAACGCTAGGTCGAGTGATACAGCACGCTGGATCACTCGAACTGGATCATTCCTTGGATCCTTAGAAGCCATATGTCCAGCATGTTTGATGATTGTCTATGAGACACTCGCCTCGTTAGACATGTTCTGCTTGACTCTCGAGGTCTGAGTTCACTGAGCCGTTTCGTAGCCCATTCGCTCTCCATATCCAATAGTTTTCGGGTGAAAGGGGGCGCACTAGTCACCTTTATATCGCTTCAACTTTATGTTTAATTTTACCTCGTTGCTTGAGTAATGTTCACTCAAGCGGAGTATACTGCCTCTATGGTCCTGATACCATGGTGAACAAGTGATATCTGGACAAAATTGCTGGAGATGTTTGTGGATGTCAATCGCTAATTGTTTTTCCATCCTCTGAGTAATTCTAAGAAGAAATTTTTCAAATAAAAATCAACTTGTAGAATTCTATCATATAATCAGCACAAACTTCTAGTGAGAACTATCACTACCCTGACATTTTATTACACTTCATAAGGAGAGTAAGAAGCTGATATAACAAAAAGCTCTCCTTTTTATTTAACTGGTGTCGCTTAGCTTGAAGAAAGATGTACTCTGGTCAATTTGCATAACATTGAGCCATTCTGCACGAGCCTTACCCAGTCACGTGAATCGTAGTAGCCTGAATTTCCGCATCTTTCAGAACGAGCATGTCTGGACGTGAGTAGTATAGAGCATGTAGATTGATCAAGGTGACGTCAGGAACAGGTTGCTCAGTTTTCACTCCCCATTGAAAATGTGACACTAAACATACTACCTTAATGGCTAAAAATCTTCTGAGACCTCACTATATAAGTGAATTCATTCGTCTCTTTCTTCATCCCAACCTTTTTGTTGAGGACAGGTCTCTTTTCAGGATCTGATCAGGACTGCTGAAGTTTCTCACTTCCGCAGAACTGATCGGTGAAAAAGTTGCCTGATTGACAGTATCTGCATGAATCTGGAGTACATCTTTATATATTCATTACAACAACAGGGCAATTTGAAGGCTTAGAATCTGCCTCAGTTTAGAGTGCTTGTGCATCATCCATTATTTCTTACTGAAAACTTAGAGTACCTGTACATCTATTCTTTCGTGTAAAAATTTTTGATTGCTTCCACATTCATTAGATACTGATCAACTGAAAAAATACACAGGCAGAAAGGGAAGATGGCATCTACCAGGAATCTAGTTCTGTTCTTCACAGTGACTCTGTTCCTGCGTATCTCAGTCGATGCTGAATTCATGAAGCCTCATGATCTCTTAAAAGATAACTTCTACAAAGATTCCTGTCCGAATGCTGAAGCAGTGATTCGAAGAGCAGTTTTCACTGCCGCTGAAAAGAATCTGAAGCTAGCTGCGGGTCTCATCCGATTGCAATTCCACGACTGCTTTGTTGAGGTACGTTCCAACGTTGACTCTTTTGCCTTGAATGTTGACTGTATTTTACAATTTCGTCAGAGTATTTCATCGCATGGTCTGATCTAAACTGAAAAATATTCATCTCAGGATGTTTAGGAGGAAATGCATATTTATAAGATCAATGATTGCAAAAGATCTTCAAATCATCCCGCATTTATTTGGCGTAATGACAAATGCCTGCCATTACGTTCATGCTTCTGGAAACAGGGTTGCGATGGTTCCGTACTGCTAGACGGTAATGATACAGAAAAAACTGCACCTGTAAACGAACATCTCAAGGGCTTCAGAGTCGTCGATGCTGCCAAGGCGGCGGTGGAGGAAGTCTGCCCCGGTGTTGTGTCTTGCGCAGACGTTCTGGCCTATGCAGCTCGTGACAGCACCGTCATGGTAAACTCTCACCACAAGGTTTCTGAAATCTTATGCAATCGGATAGACATTCTTGTGTTCCATTTGATGTCACGTATAGATCAGATGTAGGCGGCAGTGTTGATATTTACTTCAGTAGGCATGCAGTGCCATACATGAACCATTTGATGAAGTGATAGTTTTTGGGGGTTTTCGCACGCCCATCAAAGAAGAAACAATCAGAAGGGCTGAGAAGTAAGGTTCTCATCAAGTGTTCGTTGAACAGCTAAATGGTACGAGGTTTGAGGTTCAAGGAGGAAGAAAGGATGGCCTCTTCTCGTGCGCCGAAGCTGCAGAAAGGGACCTTCCGCCGCCGACATTCAACGCTTCACAGTTGATTGATTCCTTTGCCAAAAGAGGGTTGTCGGCAGAGCAAATGGTGGTGCTCTCAGGTATATACTGAGCATGAAAAAGCTTGCTCTCCTCATTTCTGTTCTCCCTTGGTCTCAGAAACATCTGAAACAAGTTCTGAACCTCAAAAATATCGACCCTATTCGTTCTGCAAGCTGAAGTTCGCTCGTCGATAAGCATCTTGCTGATGAGTTACGATTGTTTGCATGCAGGATCCCACACAGTAGGAGTCGGACATTGCGACAAATTCATAGAGCGCCTCTACAACTTCAGTGAGGCTCATGCAACCGATCCCTCCTTGAACTCCACCTACGCCAAGCAGCTGAAAAGGGACTGCCCAAAACGAAACTTCAACTCGACACTCGAGATCTTCATGGACACCATGACGCCCGGCGAGATCGACTCAAACTACTACGTGGGGCTCACACAGAGGAAGGGTCTGTTCACCTCGGATCAAACTCTATTCGAAGATCGTCGAACAAGAAAGTTTGTGAGAAGACTCATGAATGAAGGTCGCTTTGATCGCCGATTCGGTGAAGCAATGCGCGCGATGGGGGCGGTGGGTGTACAATTCGAAGGCCAAATCCGCAAGAATTGCCGCAAGGTCAATGAGGAGTGAGACGGCAGATCAGATAGAAGTAGTTTCCTTAGGCGTGTGAATAATGTCTCGCAGCTTGACCGACCGCCTTGCTCTTGACAGAGCGACGAGTCTAATATTTAGCTGTGCATTCTGTGTAATCAATCAATTCGATTCTTCGGAAATAAAGACCCGCCTGGTGCAATTGTGATACTCTAACTCACTGCAAGAAGTGTAGTTCATTGAAAGTTCTTAAATTTTCACATAATGTCTAAAATAAAACTTTTCAACGATAGATAGATAACAGTGATGAGATTTTGAATACATCTTGTTCCACTTTGCCAATATTTGGTGAAATTTATCAGAGATAAATTGAAATTTTTTATATTCATTACTTGATACATATGATATTTAATGAAACATATATTTCTCGTACTTATTTATGATTATTAACATTTCCCTATTCCAATATATTTGAATGAGTGCATATATTGATATACTATCATATCTCATGAAATTTCTTAATGGAACCATCAAATTTCGTGTTACCCGATGATACGCTACCAACTATATACGTCTGTCTTTTCCGATGGCCTCTGGAGATGCAGGATTCTCTTCTCGTCCCATGTCGCGAGATCGTGCGCCTCCTCAACTCCTCCCGTTGTTTCATCCCAGTCAAATTCTGTTTGTCAGCGAACACCAAAGGCACTACGACTCGAAGCTCCGCGAACTATAGTGTGAGGGTATATAGACTCTGCACAACCATTCCAAGCCTTCTCTCCCATGACACAGTAGACGCCCTCTGGAGATGCAAGGGTCTCTTCTCGCGCAAGGCCGCGAGATCGAGAGCCTCCTCAACTCCTCCGGTTCTTTCTGCAGATCTGTTTGTTGGCGAACTCCAGCAGCGCTGCGCCTTGAAGCTTCCCCTATTGCAACATGTTGTGATAGGTCTCTGCCCGAGGTAACCTGTCCACGAGGTAGATCAAGCGGAATTGACTCCACCGTCGGTTGAAACTAGATAATGGCTTACGTGTACCGTAGGTTTGATACACTTTATAAAACGAAACTTGATGTATCATATTAAACAATTTGTGCTAACATAGAAGACCATCAAATAATTCCTTCTTTATATCTTTTCATTCAAAGATTATCTTGATATGTTTTAGTAAAGTTGTATGAAGTATAGTATACAGATAATAAAAATCATCATCAATATTTTCTCAAAGAGGTCAATTGTCATTTTAAAATCTATAACAAATTTTTACTTTTATTTATATAAATTGAGCTTTATTTTATTTTGAATTTATTCACTTACTTTGAAAATTTACAAAGAAAAAATCCAGTGTATTTACATCACTAATTTCTTTTAAAAATTTTCGGAATTAATCTAAAAAATTCCAAAAATATTTATTTGCTTATATCACATTATAGTTAAATTTGTAAATAATTATAACTTGCAAGGTTCATGGTTATACACAGTACTCTCTATTCCAGGACAATGTACTATTTGTCCAATTGTTGCTAAAATAGTACAGAAGATGATACTTACAATGGGACACTCTCATTAACCCGGCCTAGAGGCAGAGAAAAGAAGTGCTTTCTTTATGGGATCGCTAGAAACGGTCATACAAATGTTTCGCCACATTCCGAAGTGCACTGTACTACTTGGCGTACATTATGTTTTCCAGAGCAAAGTATGTCATAGAGGAACAATATGAGTTGCGACGGTAGCACATCAGCGAGAAGTCACCCTTGACTCGACTCGTCGTTGGCATCATTGTCTTGAGATCCGTCATGAACTGCTGCAACTCTACGAAGCAAGAACCACACGGAGACTAGGACTTGGATAACACGCTGCGCATCTTGGATTGCAACTATGACATCAGTGGCGATTCTTGGTTGGTAATATGAATCAGGTCCTTGTGCTCCTGGCAAATACTCTGCAAAACTCGGGCCCGAAAGCCAACCGCAACTACGCCTTGTGGTTCGCAATCAATGAAACGAAGTCCACCATCAATGTCTTGATCAGCTCCAATGGCAGACAAGGTGGAAGAGGAGCCGATTTGTGATCAGAATACTGCCTGCCCCCCATCACCTTGATCACGCTTATCATGCCTTCGAGATAAAGAATTGCACAACCACATAGCACTTGACTCTTGCAACGTGCGTCCAGCTCTGCATCAAACTCGACAGCATAGACGTCGATGCCTTGGAGTAGTAGCTCCAAACAAGCAACAGTCACCAAGAATTGTACCTTGGAGACAGTGCTACAGCCAAATGACGCCGGCACGTCCAGATTGCGAGACTCGTCTCGCTTGGTGAAACATCGCTCCCGGAGCTCCGTGAGAAGCACGCATAGGTTGTTGTACTGCTTGGAGACAACACTAGAAGGACGTCAAAGGTGATGTTCATTGTCTGTAGAAATTCACGAACAACGATGGAAACCAGCCACCATTACGTCAGTGGGGCCGATACGTATCGCTTCTCCTTGAAGAAGCCGCACACCGTGGATCGGTTGGTGAGTAGCCACTTCAACACCTACAGAAAGAAACATATTATATGTTACATATAATTGATTACTTAGCCAACCAGACAACAAAACACACAAGCAATAACAAACAAACCTTCGAAACTGATGTACACTTGAGGTTGATCTAGTAAGTACACTTGCTCCCCATTCGGCGAGCCAAAATCTCTTGTCGCCCCAGCCAACTAATGATTGTGGTCAAAATGCTCATAAACGGGAAATCACATATGTAAGTGATCGCATGCAACGCGGCGATCACTGATCAGCATTGTTTATATAATCCAGCTGATGGACCAGGCACCATACTCAATAGAATGCCGGCCTGCTGACAGCAATGGCGAGCTGCAATGTGAATCCAACATTATAGCCCATCATGTTTGGCGCTCCATCGGTGGACGAACCAATGAGCTTATACTTCCACATTGGATAGAGAGCATCAAACACCTTGACAAAGAAGTTGAACAAAGACTCTCCAGTGTGCGACTCTTCGAACAAGGGTATCGCCATCAGGTGGAACGATAGAAGATTGTCGCCAACCTCATGATCCAAAAACCGAATCCGCATGTTCAGGTGAGAGTTCCCGAAGTCATCAGTCGATACATCACTCGCCACCGCGAATGCCCACGACTATGACATCACATCCACAATAATTTGTAGGCCAACGGCACATACAATTCGAGAAAAGCATGAAGCATTTCCATCTGAAAGTCAAACAGTCTTCGACTCATAGCCAAGCCAGTCGCGGTTCTCAAGTATTACTCGCAATATGTGCCGGATCAATAACACGGCGGCGAGCAGGAACACGACATAGTCAAACTGCAGCGGATTGGCGATCGTGACCTTGTAGCAAGACACGACCTTGGACCCATCGTCTACGATCACATACTAAGTTTCGAAAACATCCATGCCACAATCGTCACGAAGTTCCTCGCCGTCGTCGTCGTTCCACAATGCAGCCGGCATCAATAGCTCCAAGATGATGACCTCGACGATGCTCTTATATATTGTGAAGATGCTCTTGCGGCCAACAACCGTGCTGCGCTTCTTGAAGAAAGCATCAACCGTCAATTGCTCGAGTAAACCCTTGAGAAACTCCGGCGTGGAACTTGCCACCTTTCTCAGCGCTTCGTACTCTTCGAACTTCTTAGGATGCTGCTCCTGCATGTGCTTGTGGATGTTGTCACTGCGAAACATGTCCTTCCAATGCTTGTTATTGGTAGTACTCTTCCGCTTGCGTCCATCGGGGACTTCGTCTTCTGTGACCTCACGGCGCCAACACTCGCAAAAGAGACAAACAACGGCTTGAACAACGCCCTTGTTCTCTTCACGGGCGGTCATTTCGCAATCCAAACTCAAGTTTGAACTTATCTTGGTAAGGAAAAGACCGTGCAGTATGTTTTCTTCGAGGCGGCATGGTGCTCATCACGAATCAACGATAAGTTTGAGGTGAACAAAGGCTCTGTTGGGCTTCCAATGTCGTACAAGAAAGTGCATATCAGATCACATCTATGATCGTCGGCCCGCCCGAGGGATTCTTCGAGGGTCTTCGATGTGTTGCAGTAGTCGATAGGACTGTCGTTCCCTTATGATTTGACGAAGAACCGTCGAGCCGAGGCGGGCGGGCTGCTGAGCGTCATAGAGCGAGGCGAGGTGCAGGATCGCAGTGCTACGGGGTGCAGCGAGGAGCGGAGCGGGGCGGGACGTCGAATTGTGCCATGGCGGACCATCTACTTCAGGAAGTAGAGATGCACGGCCAAAAGCCTGTGAATGGAGGGGCTCCCTTGCCCCAAGTGCTAGCCCCTGCGGACGGGAGAGAGGTGACGGTCGACGAGCTGGTCGACTGGATTAAGCGCGACAAGAGCTGGATCGAGGAGCACCTGCTTCACAGCGGCGCGGTGCTCATCCGCGGGTGCGATGTCAAAGATGCCAAGGACTTCAACACCGTCGTCGAGGCTTTCGGGTACGAAGAGCGGCTGAGGCCTGGCGGAGGAGGCCTGGCGCCACGCACGCAAGTAATCGGCAGAATCTACACTGCCAACGAAGCTCCTCCCCATGTCTACATACCTTTCCACCACGAGATGGCACAGCCACCCACAGCTCCCTCGAAGTTGTTCTTCTTCTGTGAGCTGGCACCGACGAAAGGTGGCGAGACTCCTCTGTTATGGAGCAATTCCGTCGTGAGACGCTTGCAGCAGGAGTGCCCTGATTTCCTGCAGCAGCTGGACGAGAAGGGTTTAATATACCAATTGTACTTCGGGGACGAAGATTTATCTGAGTCTTACATCCAACGCAGCTGGAAAACTCTGTACAAAGTGAACGACCGAAAAGAACTCGAGGACAAGCTTGCAAAGATGGGCGGAGACTCGAGAGTTGAATGGATTGAAGGACATGGAGTCAAGACGATCTACGGTCCACTCCCTGCCTTGAAGTGGGACGAGCAGCGGCAACAGAATGTTTTTTTCAACTACATGGTAATGAAGTACTTCACCGAGTACCCTGTTCTCGAGTGTGACAAGGAGGTAGCGGCTTTCGACAACGTAATGTTCGGAGATGGCTCACCACTCCCGCGAGAGCAGGTTTTGGACTGTCAGAGAATCATGGCCGAGGAAATGGTCGAGTTCAAGTGGGAACGAGGAGACGTGATACTCATTGACAATGTGGCTGTGCAACATTCTAAAAATCCCTGCTTCTCTCCTCGTCGGATCCTGGCTTCTCTTGTAGTGTAAATATCGAGTACCGAGTCTATAACTAAGATCTGCCCTCCAGTACTCAGTATCTGCGTCTCTCGACTCTTTCTTGTATTGCCTCAATTCTGTTATGGTATCATAACAGCGCCACGCACTTGTTAAAATAGGACACAGCGCCAGCCTTAGAATAGGACATCGTAGTATTATAAGGGGATTGTCCTATTTTAAAGAGGGGGATTGTCCTATTTTAAAGAGGCCGGTTATACAGCGCAATCCTAGATGCTGTAAGTCAGTTTGCAAATGGCACTTGATACTCCTCACTTCTCGAAGTGTCTAGGGTGGTGTGATCAACACCACCCTAGATCAATATGACAACACTTCCCATACATATTGCAATCCACCTCCGGGCTATATGACATTGCAATATGTCATATAGCCCGGAGGTGGATTGAGTGCTTGCTTTACCTGACACCAATGCTCTGCGCTGCTTGTTTTGAAAGCAATCTATTTACAATTATCGTTTCTGGTAAAGATTCTATATCTAATCTTGATTTAGACGCTGACGTGCACGTAGAGAGAGAGTTTCAGGTGTAGATGTGAAATTTAATATCAACTGTTCAAGGTTGAGGGTCAATCACAATACCAATTTTGATACGATTACCTAAAACCAAGTCTACATTGTCAAAGTAGAATACTTTTTTTGTTGTGCCACTCACCATGTGAATCCTCCTGTCAGTATGCGACCTACTCATGTGTAGCTTCGTTATAAAATAGTGATCTATCATTTTCACAGATGTAGACCCAGGTAATATAGTGTGTAAAATCGTAGGTGGATGTATATATCTCATGCTGCTCACGACTTAGGCATAAAACTTGGCCTTCCGATGTGTGGCCCCGACTTATAAACGTAATAAAAGTAGGTCTCCACAGCCAACGGACTCGCCATATCCAAAAATACACAAAAGGTCACAAACCGCAACTCATCATTATGTCTCCAAGGATCAAAAACTTGGTAACATCATGGCCTGTACTGAGACCACATCTGTATCTTTGTTCACATGAATACAACCCAACGTGTTGAGCTGGCAATAGGAATGGGTGAATCAACCCAATAACTTTCTCGCATGTAGGCAGGTCAACTATAGAAGTACATCACAGACAACATCCGGGCAAGGACCCAGACGACTGTTCCTTAACTTATCAACTACCGGCCTAGAAACACCTAGAAATCTCTACCGTGAGGTTTCACGATCATAAGAGCCATTTCGCCACTGCTCCCACAAGTTTGATACAGGATCGGTTTGAACAGATCACAGACAAGAGCTTGATTATGCGACTGGTTTAAACTTTAGTGACACCTATACTAAACGTAGGATTTCTCAAAGGTCGCACTGGTAGCTTCACATCGAAGCTATTATGCATACCCTGTTTACCAATCACGGCCATAGAGCCTCCTAAAAAGGTAGCTAAAATCGTATTCAAATCATGGGATTTTTCTCACTTGGATGGACTGGAGATTCTCATTCAAGTTGCTCGACGTAATGTCTGAAACCGCTACCACCAAATCCCCAGATTTCATCATACCCCTTGCCTTCAAAAGAGCAAACGTGCGACGCAAGTTGTTCTCCATATCGTCACTGAAGTCCACTCGGAAGGGTATCAAACCCCATGATAGATTCAATCGACGCCTCACATTCTTAGAGTCCGTGAAAGCAAATATTGGGCAGTCAGGCCGACATCTTGAAAGAAGCTGCGCCATGTATCCTCTCCTTGTGTACACAAAGATCGCGTCGACTTCCAATTTGTTGGCTGAATACACCAAAGAATTACATTACTCAGCACCAGGTAGTGACAGCATCCACGTCAGCTTTAGGCTAATCGACACAAACTTCTAGTTCCCTGGACATAATCTTTCATTCTATAAAGTTACTGCACGGATAAACATCAATACACTGCCAACGACTTAAGTGAAAAGTCATGAGAGGTGAACAAAACGGGCAACTTTCAAAATTTTAAGAAGAAGCTGTACGTACCCATTTGCGCAGCTGCATTACAGATTTGCTCTGAGATTCTATCAGGTAGAGCAGCGGAGAGCTCTTGTAAGCGTGTGTTTTCGTGATTTTTCTCTTCACGGCACCATTTCTCAATGCGTAAGCTCACTTGTCTAAGAACACTCAATGCTTTGTCGGGATAAGCTCCCATCGCGGACTCCCCGGAAAGCATCAGAGCATCAGCCCGTTGTCTGACGGCTTCAGAAATATCCGCCACCTGCAATCCAAACACTCCTTATTAAGTAACTACGACATATACGTTGAAGCATCTGTTTCCGTGGCTACCTGAAGTCCTTCTACCATAAGGCTCTAACCTTTTCAACTAGGACAGCGGAAACAGTACATGAGGTAAGAGCGCCACGCTCTTTTCTTTTCAACCATCCTGGTGCCTAGAGTGTAGCAACCTGATCGGCCTCAAAACATGAGAGCAACGCTGTAAGACAACGACAGAGATCTACTAACACTTGCTCAATGCCTGTGATCGTATCGAAACTAAGTCGGTAACAAATACAGAGCTTTAAGCAAAAGTCAAGGCACAGGGGATAAGCTAATCTGAACGCTCATGTGAGACTAGTTACACAAAAACGCAAAATGATGACTTAAAACTGTAAAGTATTATACTACCACTGAACACTATATACAACTGATAAGGTCTGCAAAAATGATTGTCCATGTTAGGACTATCGCTGTCTACAAGAGCTCTGCTGTACTACAGACTTCCGTTGGACACCCAAAACGGGCTCGCTTCTTAGGGTTTAGGTGTTCATTAGTAAGTCTGAAAAAGTAACCACACACACATGGACACCACCCCGAATGACAACATCACGGTGCAGTTTAAATGCTATACGTGATTCACATTCACATCTTACCTCTGCACGAGTTGGAGTGGGGTACTCAATCATAGACTCTAGAAGTTGCGATGCTACAATGACAGGCTTGTTCAACTGTCGGCAGAGTTGCACTATCTCTTGTTGCACGGATGGGACCTGCTCCAAAGGGATCTGTGCCCCCAAATCACCTCTGGCAACCATAGCTCCATCCGAAACCTGAATAATATCCTCTAAGTTTCTCAAGGAATCACTGCTTTCGATCTTCGCAAAAACACCAATCGGCCTGTAGAAAAGGAGAACATGGTGTTAGCCTCTTAGATCTCGACTGAATAAGTCGGATAGGTGAACGGAATAGATGGTGTAACTACGAAGGAGAACGGCATGACATCTATCACGTATGATCTCTATTCAAAGTAGGATACACATAATACAATTTAAGAACTGTGCGCAGCTCAATTCCAAGAGACCATTATAGAGAAACAAAAGAAGCATTTGTCATATCTCGCCTGTACGTTTCGAAAGTAGACCCTAGTAAAAGCTTCTAGGGAGTTGGGGCAGTAGAAGACTTTACGTCGCACAGCAAGATGTACAACAGCAGTAGGCAAAAGCAAGTAGAATTGTACAGTGACACAATCATTTGGCCTAAACAACCAAAGCTTGCGACAGCAAAGGGAGCACTTACTCTTGAGGGCACCTTGCGGTGATGTAACTTTTTAGATGCTTAATAACATCGGCGGTCTTCACGAAAGAAACAGCAATAAAATCGACTCCTTCACTGATACCGAAATCAATATCCAGCCAATCCTGAAATATTCCGAAAAATGTTATACTTCATATTTCAAATAAGAAGACTCATTGCGTATTCGCTTTACCTCGTTACAGTAATATTCACGGAAGTATTTAAGCCATATTATTTCCTTGCAAAATTAAGCAATACAATGAGTGGAACACAACACTTCAATTTTAGTACAACATAACATTTCGAAAGTCGACAGTTACTCTTGACTAGTCAAAACAAAATTAAAACGTTTCGTGAGGCAGCAAAAAGGATTCAGGCTAAGGATGACCAAACGTAAGATTCGATCTCGCTTTACGAAGCGGTGGGAATTACGGGAGGAAACATGGCTACCTTGGACGAAATGGTAGGGAGCATGGCGTTGCGTTCCCGGACCAGGCGACCGTCTCTCCAGAACGTCAGATTGGCTCGAGGAAGGAGAAGACCCGGATCAATGCACCGGCATATGACATCGGGCCCAAGTTTCTTGACCACATCAAAACGAACCATTCCTCCATCGACCACAAGTTCGTCTCCTGCCTGGACATCTGCCGGCAGAAAGAATCGCATTGAGAAAACCAGATCCGAAGCTAAAATGCTGTCCTCAGCGATGTAGGAACAACAGAACCATCCTTTACAGACTTTCGGGAAGGAAAGACAGAACCTTCAAGAAAGCTACATACCCTCGGCGAACCCTTCATAGTTGACCTGGACGGTGCGTTCAGGCAAGTCTGCGGCTTCAAATTTGCGTACAGTAAAAGTCCACTCTTCCCCATCCTGTGCACGACAAAAATTCAAACTCAGATATGCCTTAGTTTCCAAATCAAAACTTGCTAGTAGAAGTATAGAATATTCATCGTCGAACTGCCAACGTGTAAGCTCCCAACCAACCAAAATAACAGTAGTCAATAATTGTATGATGCATCTACGAGATATACAAGCTTGCAATTATCTCACTGTCCAACACCAGGCTGTTGATCAGCTATTCCTTTCTTACGTTGCTCACTGCGAGACTAATGTACTGAGACCCCAAAGAAGCAGTGACTCTTGACATTGTCATCGATATTGATGACAATCAAAATAATGTGTTTGCTCCACAAGCCAGAATTGTCACATGATGGGAAATAGACAGGCCTCTGAGCTAGTAGCTTAACCAAGACTTAAACAAGACGTTCCGGGATCAATTCTACAACAGGTGACCATTCATTGACAAAAACAAGATACGGTGTTAAAAAGACGTTACAGGCTTGTGACACTGTCTTGTTGTAGTGAGGGAGTTATACATACTATTCAAAAATGCATGTTACAGTTAAGAAGTCCTACACGAATACAATATAATTTTCAAACACCTTCTTCACGACTCGTACTCGGATCGAAGTTGAAGGAATCATTAAAGTCTTGATGGCGGGAACACTGCCGATAGTGCACCTGAAGTCTACCTTATTGAAACTGGACTTTCATGAGAACCAGCACTTCCATCAGCTACGACGTACTGACTAATGAATACTTTGGAAATGGGATGAGGGCAAGCAAAAGGTGGTGCGATACCTCAGCTTTGGCCGAATTTTCTCCAAGATCTCCCATGTGAATTTCACTGCCTTCAGTATCCATCATTATAGCTACAGAGTATCCTTTCTCTGCATTCAGCATGCGGACATTGCGAATGACCGCACGATGCCATTCACGAGTTCCGTGGCACATGTTAAGTCTCGCCACATTCATACCTCCATTTGCTAGAGCTTCCAGTTGTTCAAATGAGCACGTTGCAGGCCCAATTGTGCACACTAGTTTCGTCCTCCTAGTACTTCGGAAACCGTTCTCCTTCAAATCTGCTTCGCTTACAGAGTCTACTTCAATTCCAGACGAACCAGGGGTAAACTTTGCTCCATTCTCGATGGGCAGCAGTCCATTCTTGGGAGGAACCACCTGCTCCTCGTCTGAGTTGAGGTCTTCATGCTCTAATAAACCTGTCCCGGAATCTAATTTATCTCCTGCTGCAACCGCCTCGGAACGGACAGAAGTCCTAACCTGCTTCCTGCCAGCAGACCTCCCTCGTTCGGAGCCTACGATAGAAATGGATGATCGGCGCAGGGGACACTTCAAAGAAACAAAGGCCCCCGATGCTTGACCTCTCAATTTCCTCCTTTCCCCTGTTAAATCCAGACCACCCAGCTCTCCGTGCAGACAAGTAGGCCAACAGAATGCCTGCGACATCACTGCCATTGCTGAACTGCAGACGTCAACAACACAGCTCTCAGTCAAGAGCAAATACAAAAATTTGTGTGACTAGCCACGCGTGAATTTCGCATGTTCCCGGGCAGTCCTAAATAATAAAGAAGATGTCCAGACTGCTCACTCGCACTCGTCAATCCTCATAGTCCACCAAACAAACAAACAAAAACCCACAGAGCACGCACTAGCGGAACTCGCTCAACGCCAAATTATGAACATTGTAGAGAGAAAAACTCTACGGCCAAAAAACAGCTGCAAATGAGCTTACAACCCGCGAACGAAAATATGCCTAGAACTCACATGAGACAGGATACAAGAAGTCGGCTTCTAAAAACCCGCTCCTGTTCTCTGAAACATGAATCAGACTACAAATGAAGCTAAAGTACACAACACTTCGTAACAGACAACCTAGACGCATGAACCAGCAAGCCAATCCTCGCTTCCTCCCGCCCGTGGATCTCTCCGCTGTCAATGCGTGACCCGATAGAACTGTAGCGCTCTCAGATCCGCCTCGCGAGCGGGCGGGCAGAAATTCTCTCCACCTCGAAGTTCGCTCGACATACCTTCTTGGATGGCAACTCCACGCTCACCCACGCCTCCTGCGGATTGATCTCGTCAACTGCGCTTCGGCTTCTTCTACTCTCTTCCTCGTCGTCGTCCTCCTCCTACCGCGCGCTTCGCTTCCGCCCGCGCCTCAGAGCAGGTGCACCTGCGCTCCGATGCTCTAGAAGGGCGACGGGCGCGCTCACGAGACCTCGTTGCTCGAGTGTCCTCTCCGAGCGCCGGGATCGTTCCCAGATACGCTGCCCGGCTTGGCCCCTGCCTGCTCGCCTCGGGCTGCCTACGAGTGGGGGCGCGTGCAGGTTCGGAGATTGCACCTCGGATCGGCACTCAATTTCTATTATCCCAGCGCATACACCGTGGCACCTGACTGTGCCACCGCATCCACGTGTACACCTCGCTGCTGCTCGTACTTTACTTTCTCCGGCGAAGGACTTTTACCGCTCGTGGTAGGTTGTTGAATATCCTCGTTGAGATTCGGCCCTGCGAATCGTCTGATTTGTTCGCCGTGACGTGGTTACCCATGCTGGTACCAGGGTCTGACATACTCGATTGCCAGCCAGCCGCGGTAGAAAGCTCACTGTCGTCATCCACGTCTGACGGATGCATTTCTTAGGGGAACGACTGGCTAGCGGGAAATGGGAGAACCCGACCGCGTCAAGCCCTAAACAGACGAGAAACAGACGGGGAATCAGGGGCTAGCCCTGGTTTCCCCACTTCTAATATAGCGGTGAGAAATCGACAGAGTTAACCGTGGTTATTGTGTTTGACAACTTGACTGATTTCAACCCACTGCTGAGTCATCCGCGGTCAATGTTGCTGAGTGTACACGGGAGCCTTTCACCTTCGATAGTAACGAGAAGATGAGGGACGAATGCACACCGACAGCCAATCATAGACGGAAATAGACCATAGGAATCCTCGGGGATCGAGCCGAGGACTAGGGATCACCAGTGTTTTACTGATGTAACCATGGGTTGTATGCGCGGTTAGCACAAACCCTAAAGAAGAGTGGTAGCAAATAAAGAGGTGACAAGTTACTGATTATCTCATCCCATTCATAAACAAAACACTCCAAAAAAATACGTTTCCTCATCTTAGCTAAAACCTGCTCTCCGCATACATTTTCCTTTAGAAATTCCAATGTTTATCACAGATCACCACAATCTCCTCGTCTGTCACACTATTTCATCCTTCGCACTTGTTGAACCTTAGCCATCACATGTTTACAATCATCGACTCTGTGGTGTTCTAACATGTTTGATAAAAGAATGGATTTAATAATCAGGTGGACGTTCGGGAAATAGGATCTCCTTACAATGGACGTAGTTTCATGGAAGAAAATTAAGTAGCAGGTTATCATAGCTTTAACATATATTTAAAAATATTGCTCTTTAAGGCTTTTTTGTACACACGCAACCGAGCTCCAAGAAATTGAGGAGGCTTCTGCTGAGGCAAAAGTCAGTAGTGGTGGCACACTCTTTGCGTACTATGCGTCGAAGAGAAGACCAAACATTTGAGGCACAATGGGCAAGATGTAAGTACGAAGCTTGAGTTTCTCCTGGATGTGATGAAGTGATCATTGGGCCGCTTCATTTAATGGGGTGATGTAGGCAGTAAGACTTCAAAAGCTACATGCGGGCACTTGATGCCCCATTGGAGCTTGGAGTAAAGAATCGTCTATCGAAAGTTGATCAGTCCGGACACTGGGTGTAGTATAATGCTGGTAAGTACAAGTTTGTAAGCTTCTTGCAGCTAGAAACATCGATGTTCGGATCGTTAGGCTAAGAGTGTCTGAGTTGGAGATCCTTGGGATGGTGAAATTGTTTTGCACATAAGCAGAAGCCAGAGGGAAGCACAATCTTTTGATGAAGTTTCCTTAAGGAACTGTTGGACGTGCTAATCACTTCGTTCAGTTTCAAGCCATGGTGAAAATCAAGGATGCAAAACAAGAAACCAAGCTTGGATTGAGTGCTAATGATGTTCATCTATGCGAACATTTTTGATGACGAGGTTTTGGAAATCATTTTGTAAGCACGTTCAAGACAATTCGGCTAATACGGTTTATTTATGAAGTCAAAGGAGGATATAATATATTTGGCCACACGCTGATAGCCATTATAGTAAAAATGGTAAATGGTAAATTTTAAGAGGTCTCAGTCGACAGATGGATCATAATCTAGAGATGGCTAGGTATTACAAGTAACATCTACATGACATCACTCACAACAAAGTTGAAAATTTCTGGTCTTGAGATTTTTTGCAAGTCCTTGGTTTAGTGGAAGGTGGGGGCGGAGGGGTTGTAAATTAAATTGACGATTGTGGCAAAGATTATTCTATTTACTTTTTAGAACTTACAATTGGAACGGAGAAGGATATATACAGGGTCTCATACGGCGGGGGCAAGAAACAGGGGAGGTATAAAAGGGGACTCACTTTAAAAGGGGACTCACTCACGAGATAATCTTTGATTTTCATGAAGTAGAGAATCGATATCAACTCGTGTGGATATCGACGTCGACTAAAGGTAAGGAAGCTTGTTGTGAAGCCCAACCAACCGACTACTCACAATGTAGTTGCATGATCCGAACAAGTTTTAGAACAAGGGCCATGACTAGAGGTACTTCTTGCTGTGGCGTTTTAGTTTGCTTGAGCGGTAAATTCTTCAAAATTTCCCTGTTCTGAATGTAAGGTTTGTGGGAAATGGAGAAACAAATTGCTTCTTCAGAATTGAGTGTGATATCGAAGTTTTGTACTTTGTCAAGTTTGCAAGATTGTATCTATTGTACATTTACTTCTGCGACCATGGTTGTGTTACTCAAGATCGTTCTCGATAAAGTTCTTGGAGGTGATGCTTAGATGATGAAAACATTTTCTTAGATTTGATAGCAGATGAAAAAATATGAGAATCGCGCTGTGATATAGTGAGAGTTTAAACTATCATTTCGAGGATTAAAGCACAAAGGTGAATTTAGTTACTTATTGGCTGGTGATGTAGAGAGGGTTAAGTAATTTTGTTGGGCTTTTTGAGGCTTCTTCAACATTCATTCACTCAAGTGTACTTGTCATGCCACAAATGACTTTCCTACCAACAAACCACTCCTAGAAGACACATGCCCACAGGCTCGGCATAAGTGAACCATTTGCAGGTTCGTCACAATCTTCTACCAGCCGGGTAGCTTAACGAGTAATATTATCGATCAGACACGGATAATTATCAACATGGTCCAATGCATCCCATCTTAGTGTTCTTACCTCATAGTGTTAGATCCTGATGTTCCCGGTTGTCTCTTCCTCTACTATTTAATCACGCGTCGCTTCTGTATTTTTATTCTTGCTATAGGTGCCTCTATTTATGCAGAACCATAAACCCTTTTTTCTGCTATGGGAAGGGGAAAAGTTGACGACGTGGGCCCATAAATGGATATCCGAATTTGCAAAAGGGTTTTCGACAGGTGGGCTCATGACTGACAACCCTTGACGCCGCTGTTATGGACGACGTACGGGAGGGACACAACGGTCAGACATCTACCACGCCAACGCGATAGCTGCAGTAGGGTGTGATTCAGAATGAAGACAAAAGGTGTCAAATGCTGGTAGCTCGCATGGTGGCCGTCGGATGTGGATTCCTAGCTACCTCCATTTTTGTACTTTTGCAAGATCCTCGCTCTCTTATTCTCGCTGTCGTCGTATTTGATAGTCTTGTCGCGTCGCCTTTTGTTTGTGTACTGCATTCTAACTTGTTTGGAACTCCGATGTAGCCTTTAGTGGACTACAAGGGCCCTGTTGTGATTCTTCGGAAAAATAAACAGTAATATTTGGAAGAATAGATCTTACTTCTGAAATCAAGACAAATGTTGCACGGTGAGATAAAAGCGATAACCAACGCATGTAGGGTGTTACTTCAACTCAGCATATGGAAATAATGAGGGGCGAATTTATAAAAGATTGAGAAAAAGTTGTAGTAAAGAGGGCAGGAATGGAAAGACTGAAGGAGGGCAGAACTATGAATGAAAAGTATAAGAAAGAAGAAAGAATATAAAGAGATTATATTCAAGAGAAAGATTAAACATGGAACCAAAAAGAACATAAAGCACATGAAATGTACTTCAAAGAAGTACATTTCATGTGCTTCTTTAATCATGTGCAAATTTTAATCCTTATTATTATAGGATAATAATAAGGACAAAATTCGCGTGAAATTCACAAATAATTGATCGACGCATAAGGATCAAAGCTGATCATATGGTCAAGGCTGATGACGATGGTGATCTTCGTGCGGCCAGATTGTAAGCTAGATTGTAACCTTACTATCATTACAGGATGATCAGAATGCTCAATCGTCTCGATGGCGAGAGGCAGATGCATAGATAGAACATTCAAAATATATATCCTTGCTGCGGTCTTAACATATGTTTGTGTTACGAATTCTAGAAAAAAGAAAACAAGCAACTTTATTCTTGTATAGACTGAATAATAAGAATTCAAGTGTAAGAAGATGTCCCATCTTCTATATTTTAGTGCTTAAATTTGCATCGTAAATAAGGAATCCAAGTACTAAACCGATCTTGGATCTTTTCAATTTCATTCACTCTAGGTGTGCATTGAGGTAATAGTTTAGTGTACATGATAGCAAAGGCTATAATCAAATCATATTTACTCGATAAGAAAATGTCTACGAAAAGTCAGGTAATATATATGAAGACTTGAAAATGATTGCGGTTGTTTTACACATCAATATTTGATGTAATGGAAATGGAATCGTAGATGAGATATTTGTGATGGTATTAATCTTAATTTATATTGACTTCTCTATCAGATTAATTTGAATTAAAATATATTAAATAATCATGAGAATAAAGGAGTTATGAACTCAAAGTACATAATGAACTAAGATGCAAGACTGAACTTTTAATCTTATAATTTTATTTTTCATTTCTAAGATTGAACCTTTTTGTTATTCACTAATTACATATCCGTCATACATGCATGCCAGTGTGATAACTTCACTTGAGATCATAATTCGATAGTATGATATAGATGTCATGTAGGAAGTCAAATGACATTATGAAATTTAATTTGTTGAGTACATCACTTTAACCTTTGGCACTCCAATTTAAACCCTTAATCACACTTGAGTAATAACTGATTGAATAACAAGACTTTGCATCAAGATGCAAGGTTGAGAAGTCCTTACCTTAAATCGAAGTAACCTAAAATCCTGTAATGCGCTAATTTGTACGCTTTTCCCCCGAGTTACCCACTATCAGCTGACATTCAAAATCAGAATCAAATGTGATTATAACTTGCAGATTTCACGTGGAGAGCAGTGCCCAGGTACATAGAATAGCACATACAATGTATCCAGCAACATCAGGTTTATGTACAAGTTGCCACTGACGTGATCTAGACTTTCCGGTGACGCGGCGAAGACGCAGGACAGTCATAGATTTTGCCTTTACAGGGCAAGTAGCAAACTGACGTAGAGTAGAAGGTCAGCTGAAATCACGACGATCTGGACATCCGGAAACCTGGCGGAAAGCCCTAAACCATGGCTCGAGGTTTTTGTTGAGTGCACACTAGAAGTGCAAAATCGTTCCCCCGTATAATGATTGACCTCCAGCGGGATGATTTGATCGAGATCGGGTCGGGAGATCGAGGCGTCGAATCGGGATCACCACCTCCTTGTCTGGGAAGCCATCGACGCCTGGCAAGGCTCCAGTTGGGCAAGAGCAATTTTGGTGCGTTGGAATTTTAGAATGTCGGGTCGGTATGGAATTGTTGCGACCAGGATTTGCAGCTCGATAAGACGAGGACTAGCGAATAGGAATTCGAGTGTAGCTGATTATGATTCTTTTAGGAATTTGACACCGATCAGGCCCAGGCGCAGCCAAGGATCGTTGGAAAATCAGATTCTGGGTTTTAGAGGCATCGGTACAGTAGCTAGTGGATCTCCGACGGTGCCATCGGCTTCTTATAACGGATGTCTCGATCAGTTTCGGAAAGCGGAGCTGCTGAGGTGTAGATTCAGGTCCGAAGGTTTCAATCCCTTCAGTGTTTCGAACCGCATCATTTTGTGTGGAGTTGGTGGTCCAGCTTCTTCCTTTTCATCTGAATCTCAGACAGGCAGAGCCCCAGCTGGTAGTGATGGATTGCGGGGTCGTTATTCATCGGCAGAATTGTTGGAAAGGAAAGTTAGAAAAGCGGGCTCTGATAGGTCGCAAAATATGCTGATGTATCTGTTGGCGATGGTCGTGGGCGTCGTTGGTGTGACTTATGCATCCGTTCCCTTGTACCGAAGATTCTGCCAAGCTACAGGGTATGGAGGAACTACACAGCGGCGCGAGGTAATCAGCTCGTATTTGGAATTTTTGTGTCTGAGTGACGCAATTGTGTGGATCGTGGCGTAGATGAAATTTGAATGGAGCGGACATATGATTGCTGAATCTCTTGCTCGTGACGAGCCCGTAATTGTCCAGTGATATTTGTGAGCCTGATTTGTTGTTGTGGTAAATGACAAGATGGCCTTTTACAGACAGTGGAGGAGAAGGTAGCAAGACATGGAAGTGAAGATACTGCAGCTGCAAGGTTTTTGATCTTTAAAGACGAGTTTCTCTTTATGACTTCATCGTTTTCTCAAAATACGTGCAGTTCCTCCTGCTTTTCTGTCTAGTAGGAACGTAGGCTTGTTTTCCATTTTCAAATTTTGAATGTTGAAGGCTAGGTCATCCTCCCTGATTACATCATTCTTCTCTCGCTTACATTTCTCTTTTGCTGTCACAATTTTTCGCAATGCAATGTTGATGCCGATGAAAAGAATGTTTGTCACTTTGCTTTTATGCAGTGATAGCATATCACCGTAGATAGTGGAAATTTCTAATACCAATTTGATATTTGTAACATACCCCCAGTTATTATTTTTATTAATGTAGTGCAATTGCGTTACATCCATACAGAGAGCTGGTCGTATCTTTTAATGCGGATGTGGCGGATAGCATGCCATGGAAGTTTACACCTTGTCAGCGTCAGGTATATTCGTGTCACACATTTAATTGATACGGGTCGCTGTGTGCATAGGATGTTATATATAGGAGTTGAATGTGGTTACATATCCATGCCATCATTTCCTGCAAATATTAAGCAGTATAAATATAACAGGTGAAAGTGAGACCAGGCCAGAGCACTTTGGTGTTCTACACGGCTGAGAATACGAGCTCCGAGGCGATTACCGGAGTTTCCACCTACAATGTAGCACCCATGCAGGCAAGTAGAAGTTCATATAGCAGTTCTCACTGTCTTTTGCCATCTCTTAATTCTCTTTCTGATATGCAAGGATGTGAAACTTGGTGTTTATATATCCATTTTCTCTATTTGAGCAGGCCGGTGTTTATTTCAACAAAATTCAGTGCTTCTGCTTTGAAGAGCAGCGTCTTCGTGCAGGCGAGAAGATCGACATGCCTGTATGTGTTTGCTGCCTATTTCTTTGCTTTCAAATACGCCATGAAGTGATTCAAATGTTTCATGAGAAACTTATTGGTTCTGACTCTCTCTGATTCTTGTGAAGGTGCTGTTCTACATCGATCCTGAGTTTGCAGAAGATCCAAAGATGGATAACATCAATTCGCTTATACTGTCATATACGTTTTTCAAAGTCGAAGAAGAGGAGGACGAAGAGTAGAACAGCAGTTATTGATTCTCAATGTTCGTTATCTTCGTCTTGACAGCATGTATTCGGTGCCTTCATAGCAGACCTTAAACATTTATATCAACATGATCCTTTGCCAATATGATAGGAAGTATACAAACAAACACAAATTAGAGTCGTTAGTTACCCCTAATAATCAATCCAAAGAAACTTTATATCCGCTCCACTCATCTCTCTTTAATCTGTTGCTGCGTTGAATTTTTCCAGTTGATTTGAGCAAATTAGTTTTGTGATTGAGTAGGGCCGTAGACTTGAGTAGTGCTAAACCCAGACTGTATGTCATTTAACAAGATAGATAGGACACATTTTGAGGCAGCTTTGTCTAGTGTCTCGTGGTGGAGGACGTTGTGAGGTGATATTTCTGCAACTAGATCATGTGTTGATGAACTTCTTTGTGTTCAGATCCGCATTTCCAGACGATTGTATGATAGAAACATCAAAGTTTCGAAAAAATCGCGAATATGGTAAGAATTTTACTTGAAAAAATTGTGTACAAACATAAAGTTCAACTGGCATATCTCGTGCATGTCACCATACCTTTGACGATACAAGGAACGCGTGGAGACGCTTACAGAATATGCAAAAATGAATTCCGCCCATTTATCAGTGGTAGACAGGTCAGCCGCTTTTTCCAGAGTTAGTAGCTTCTCAGCGTCTTGGCGTGCATTTCGACGCTGTTGCTGCTTCTTGTGCTTCAAGTTTCAGTAGATAAGTAGTTGATCTTAGTATTTCGATTGTACTAATGAATCTGATATAGTACATATATCAGATTTACACTGATATAACCGTTACATATACTAAGTGTAAAAGGAACATATAATCCGTCAGTACTTCTTTTCCGGTGTATGAATTTTTATATAATTTGAAACCTTGGGGTTTCTATATCCAATTGCCATGTTAAACCCACGCACGGAGTGGTTACGCCCTGTTGGGAAATACCAAATTCGTTGTACAGATATGGAATGACAGATTGCCAAAGTAGCTAGTGTACGGACGTAGCCAAGGGGACATTTAAGGGAATTGAGGTTTGCAGCGTGTTTGATATTATGAATGTGGTGAGTGAATAACTGAGTGCTCTGATTTTAGAATGCCAGCGCTATCTAGGGATGCCTGCTGTTTTAGGGACACAAAATCTGCCGAAATACAGTATTGCGCAGAACCTATCATGAGAAAACCACTTGACGACGCACTTGGAAACGATTATTTGAGTGAACCACCCGTTCCAAAAAGTCACAGGAAACCCTAAAGCCAGTGAACTGAGACATTTACACGGGAGGATTTTGGATTTATAGATGAACAGTACTTGTTGGTTGTTGTATACCAGATCCGATTTCCAGCAGCGATTGTGTCTCATATTTATCTTAGATTTTGTGCTGGTGCGAAACTAACTGACCTTTTCAAATGTATTTGCCGGTTGTGAAACTCTTAGGACCCTCAAACACTTGAGTTGTTCTCAAAATGAGAAAACTAGAAGAAAACATTATGAACCTTCGACACAGTAGTTGGAGAACCTGAGAGAGGTATGAGATATGCATTAATATATCCAGTAAGTACCGGATTGTTGTTAATAAGGCGTACAGCGGATGTGCTGTATAGATTCTAGCTAATCCGGAAGTGCCAGAAAGATCCACTCCCTAAAACAAATGACACTCACTTTTTTAACATGTTATTTTCTTGGTCAGTATAGCAGCAAAATAAGAGACTTTTTCACTACACCTTCAGAATGTTCTAATAGCACAGAATGTTCTCTTAAAATTTTCACGTATGAAATGAAATTTTGTGTGAACGTGCATTTGTAAAACTGTTAAAACGTGTCCACGTTTTGATAATCTTAGTTATGGCCAGTGTGTGTAACAGTACAGAGGACTACTGTTCTCGACTAAGACCCGAGATACCTTTATTTTCTGCATGTTTCTTTGATACCCAGTACGAAAGAGCACTATATGAGATAAATGATACTGAAATACTTATTCTACGACAGTGAACTTATACTCCAATATCAGTCCATGATCTCCGAAGCCAACTGCACCATTATGAATCATGCATCCAATCACTTAAGGATTCGATAGTGTAAAGATCAGATATTTTTCATGCACTTGAATGTTAATCAGTCAAAGTTCCGACTTTTCTCGCCCTGACACTTACATGTCATATAGTGTCCTGTGTACTAGAAAGAATGCAGATTTATAAAGTTGATCTAAAAAGAAGATTGCCCCGGGTATTTTTAATGGTGGGGATACATCAATTACATGCACTCGTCCATCATAAAGTACACATGGCAAAGAACTGAGAACTCTGAATTTGACTAAGCTTTCGTTAGAGAGCTAAACAGTAGGACTTTAAGGCTGATACCGCAGAATTGCATCTTTCAGCGTGAAAAATTATTCCTGAATCTTGAACAGATGAATACACCTCTTGCTACTGGACGGTTGTTGACTCAGCACATGGTGGTGCTCTTAGGTTATTGTGAAAATTGTGTGCATCTCTCGTCTTGCTTTAACTTAAAAGTACTCCAGAGTGTACAATTTGATACCGTGTGAGCTTTTCAGGTAAGTCCACATGTTGCAAATAAAATATAACAAAAGTGCAAACAGATATAGTGAACGTGTGTTATTCCAATCGATCATCTTAAAAGTACTTCAGACTATACAACTCGATACTGTGGGAGCATTTCAGGAAAATGTACATGTTGAAAATAAGATAAGATAAAATAAGAGATTATAAAATATATGTGCAAACAAAGATATTTAGCATATAGTATTCCAATATCTCATCCTGCATCATATAAAGTTGTGAAAATAAAACTCAATATTGAAATAGGCTGTTGCCTATTTCAGTGATCCAGTCTATATAAAATCGAATTCATAACGACCAGATGTGATTGTCATGTATGTATCCACTGAACATAATGTCTGCATTTGTTAATACTTTAATGTGCATCACTCACACGGAGTCCAGATTCTAACCTATCAAACCCGGTAATCTAGAGAATTGTTTCAACTCAATGTGAAATTCTTCAAAAGCATGTTCAAGGATTTTGTACATATAAAGATCATGTATTGTAGTGAAAGATACTTGAAGCAAATTTTACGTTAGGTTTGACAGCAACAACTTGGGTTAGCCTCCAGAGGGAATCATCCATGCTAATAATGTAACATAAACCAGGAGGGTTGTCAGGAGAAAAGCCAACTATGAGGGGCAACATGCTGTTGAAGGATCCAAATCCCACATTGGCCCATTATACTTAGATAAAAGTAGTGAGAATTTATATGGTTGAGCCTGCAGTTTATACAAGAAATTTTCACAAACTGGATTTATTAATGATTGCTGAAAGATGGAAAATTCTTCTTCTTCTTTATGTAGTTGCTCAATCTATTAATCTACATACATTGAGCAGAGATGAAAGATACATTTCTTGCCTATATATCGGTAATAATCTTTTTTTGGTACCTTAAATTAAACCCTACGAAAAATGTAAGAAGATACATAGATTCCTAATCACATGATTTTATAAAATCATTTATTATATAATAAAATTTTAAATATTTTGAAATTTTAGAAAAAGAAACAACTTTTTAATGATTAGAATGTTTCTAGAAACTACATAAAAAATTTTCATTTACATTACAGATTCACCAATGTTATGGAAGTAAATTATATTTGAATTTTTGATATTTCTCAACATGATTTATTTTGAGTTACTGATAAACAAGTAAGTAAATAATTATGAGTTAGATATACAAAATTAAACAACGATGTAATAAATGTCCACATTCCAACACTTTTATTTATATAGGCAGTGTAATATACATGTCTTCGTTGGGCTGCTGCCTTCGGAGAAAAGAATGATCCTAGGATTATAAATTTTCATCTCTTTCTTTTACCGGCTGATCTATATGTACATTACTTGATTGCTTTACACCAATGCTGTAGCAGTTGCCAAGTTTCTGACAACTCGAATTCTTCACTTCCACGACGTGGCAAGAATATTGTTGTGTTCTACATTTCCTATCCTCCTCTAAATGCAGCTCCATTCGGGCTGAAATTTGTGAGAACTTATTGCCGATCGTTTTAGTCCTCTCTTTCCAAATTTTTCTCTCCAGTCTACTTCAAAGAAACTAACAAACTCCTCCTGATGCACGTGATTTTCTTTTTGTCAATGTTGTAAACCCTGGGGTTCAATGACCAGTGGCAATTGCTTTCAAAACAGACACTTCAATCGTCAAACCAGGTCCGAATCCAACCACCAGTCCCCACTCACAACCTTCTCCAGTCGTGCTGCTATTCTTCTCAGCTGACCGCCTCCTCATTTGATCCAGGACAAATAGCACGCTAGCACCAGACATGTTTCCGTAATTGTATAGCACATCTCTCGTCGCCTCCATCTTCTCTGGCTTCAAGTTCAATGTTTTGGCCACTTCGTCAAGAATGGCACGACCTCCCGGGTGCACACACCAGAACAGATCGTTCCAGCCGGGGGATCCTGCCACCTCGATTGCCTTGTTGAAGATGGGAAGAGTGTTTCTTGAGATCAGGCCGGGAACATCCTTGAGCAGATGGAAAATCAGGCCTGCCTCAGTCAGGCGTCCCTCGATGGCGCCATCACTCTCTGGCAAAATCGTCTCACCTGACCAGTGAATCTCAAACTGGGGTTTCTCAACCTCAGGGACCGGGTCAGAACCAATGACGAGGACTGCAGCTCCATCGCCGAAGATGGCTGAACCCACCAGATTGTCCAGATGTTCCTCGTTGGGTGCTCGGAAGGTCACGCATGTAAGCTCGCTCACCACCGTCAATACTCGGGCGCCCTTGTTGTTCTCGGCCAGGTCCTTGGCCACTCGCAGAACCGTGGCTCCTCCGAAGCACCCTTGCTGGTACAGCATGGTGCGTTTCACATTGGGATTCAGCCCCAAAAGTCTGGTGAGAGTGAGATCAGCTCCGGGCATGTTCACTCCGCTCGTGGTTGCGAAGACGACGTGAGTGATCTGGGATCTGGGTTGGCCCCATTCCGCCAAGGCCTCGACGGCTGCCTTCTCCGCCAGTCTGGGCACCTCTCTGATGGCAATGTCCTGTCGAACATCAAGAGATGGCTCCAGATAAGTGCACATGGAAGGGTTGGCTCTCAGAATGTCCTCTGTGCAGTGGAAGTACCTCTTGTTGATGCCCGAATTCTTGCCTGAACAAGAGAAGGACACGGAAAAGATGATCAGTCTAAAGAATTGACAATTCTTCCATCCAAACCAGGTAGACAATAATACAACTTTAGGCAAAAAAATATAATAGTACGGTCTATGTATCGGACAATCGAGAGAACTAACATCAAACTTACATATACGAGCGAATTTGGCCTTGAGCTCAGTCTTGTGACTGGTGTTGGTGATGTCGAAAAAGAAGTCCGGGTATTCACTTTGAGGGAAAGCTGTGGGAGGAGTAGCTTTTCCAATGGCTAGAACTGTTGCCGGTCCAACAGCCCTTGGGTGTCTGTAGGCAGCACCATTGCCGTTGTTTGCCATTTCTTCAGCTGAAATCTATACTTTCGGAGCAAGTCCAAATGTTTGAGATGAACACTCGGCAAATTTTTGAGATTCAGAAGGCGAAAGAGCAACTCGTCTTCTCGCAGAGAACAGATTTGGAAAATAGCACACAGTTTTTGAACAAGTTGGAATGTGGACCAAGCTGGTGGTGGTGATCTGAAGTCTGAGCTGCTCTGTATATGTACTCTTTCAGAGAGCGGAGTACATTTCAGTGTTAGCTTCCACGCTTGACTGAGGTCAACAGACTGACTGGCTCAAGTCTCGACATTAGAGTCCCGGAAGGACAGGTTGACTCAGTACACGAGGTCACATTGTCACACAGTCTACTCAGAGTTCTTATCTGGCGGGACCGAGAATCTGACCAACGCAGAAGCGCAGCGAGGGCCTGAGTCTAGCCCACCCTTCTGCCGCTTAAAATAGCATACAACTAAGTCCACGCAGTGAAGACCAAATTACTCATCTAAATATAGAGCGGGAGGACCATCCCTTAATTGAAGAGAGTAGATTAATAAAATTAGAGCACTTCGGCTGGCTTCGGTTATGAAGTTACATTTTTTGTGCGCCACAGCAAATAATTTACAGGCACAGTTTGTGTTTACAGAAAAGACCCATGATATGGTGAGAGTTTTGGTTGGATCTTTGCAAAGTGCGAGTGTACGAGGACGGTGTCTTCATATTTATTATTCAGTGAAAATGTGATTCATGCGACGTCAGCAGATTATTATGATACTTCATTGCATTAAGAACCGAATACCTTCACACATTCGACACATCAATTATGCGCTATTGTTGGAGAAGATGTGCCAGGCAGGGTGTAGCATCTTCACCTTGGCACGCGCAGGTGGAGGGACAAGAATTCCTGCAAGAGGGAAGTTGTTAAGCACATTGACCTCTTCTGAGGAAATCCTCCTCGTATGACTCAGAGTTCCGCTTTCTCTGTTGAATGTCCGCCTCTTTTTTCGTACGCAGAGCATATAAAAGCCTCCTGTCGTAATGTCCGTGACCTTACCCCACTGTGCAAAATAACGCCTGTGAGCAATGGACGAAATCGATGTGTCTTATACCACATGCATTGTCATGTAGACAAATCCTGACGTCATTCGGCTCAGGAGGCTTGACTTCGATTACGAAACAGGGAGTCCTGGGATCAGCAGTGAGAACTTTGAGCATCCTTGCGACTGACTACCGGACCACCAGACGGTGCATCGATAAATGGCAGTGTAGTGTTGGATGCGTCGGGGAGCGAAAGTGTCAACCTGATTTTGGCTTTATTTAGCACGTGGTGTTTTCCAAAATCACGGTATCTTTCAATTTCACACGTTGAGGAATGTGGCTCCAGTAAATTTGTCCATACAGATTTGACAGGGTCCTCATTGGTTTGACTATGGGGTGCATCCACCCATCGGCCTTGGGCAAGGTCCATACGCCACCTTCCAGTCTTCATGGAGGCAGTGAAGCGAAGTGAGGGCAAACCTTTATAATCTGCCGAAAGCTAGTATACACTACGTCAGGGTCCAGATCAAGACACCTTCTCCGGCAGTCAGTTCTGCGTCCCGACCCAGCTAATCCAGATTTTCCCAGTCAGTGAAATTCTTTCAATTATCTTCTCATCATTTCCTCTTCAATCCTCTTATTCTCGACACCAAATCTGACTTGTGACGACCGTGCTGTAATTCTATCGTGTAACCGTGTCTCGCTTCACCTATTCTTCCTCTGCCAAAGAGAATTCCGAGTGTTCCGAGTATTTTTAATCGCCAAGCAGCAGCCCTGACGGAGTTATACATTGTCGCACTTGCTACATTGTCAAACTCGAATTTGCAGAGAGCCATCAGCGATTCTATCGACTTCTCATCAAGATGAACGAATTCTTCTCGTCCAACTTTGAGCAGATCAAAATGCCCACTGGGAAAACCGGTGATTCTATGCAGTATTGCCTCAGTCCTTCGGCGATGACGAAGCCAGCTTCACACACTGAGGACCCTCTGCAGTGGGCGAAAGCAGCCCGTGCGATGCATTGCAGTCACTGGGAGGAAGTCGCCGACATGGTTCATGAGTTTCAGGATGCCAAAGAAATACTCATTCAAGGTGCCAATCTCAAAGTGGCCCATGTCACAGCTGTTGCCAGGCGTTCTGATGTCACCGTGGTGCTCGATGCAGCCGTTGCCAAGGAACGAGTTGACGAGAGCTCCGAATGGGTGCTGCACAATATGAGGAAAGGCACTGACACTTACGGTGTCACTACAGGCTTCGGTGCCACATCCCACCGCCGCACTGACCAGGGAGTTGAGTTACAGAAAGAGTTGATTCGTTTCCTCAATGCTGGAGTTCTGGGTAAGGACGCTGCCAACATCCTTCCCGTGTCCACAACCAGAGCAGCAATGCTGGTAAGAACCAACACTCTGCTGCAAGGCTACTCCGGCATTCGGTGGGCAATCCTCCAAACTCTGCAGAAACTGCTCAACAAGCAGATCACTCCTCAACTTCCTCTTCGAGGCACCATCACAGCTTCAGGAGATCTCGTGCCACTTTCATACATTGCAGGTCTACTCACCGGACGTCCTAACTCCAAAGCTGTCACCGAATGTGGAGACATTGTCAGCGCACAACAAGCTCTGAAGCTCGTAGGTCTGCTGAAGCCCTTTGAGCTGCAACCCAAAGAAGGACTGGCCCTCGTGAACGGCACAGCAGTCGGCTCAGCTTTGGCTTCCACATGTTGCTACGATGCCAACGTGCTCGCCCTCTTCGCCGAAGTGTCGTCGGCTCTGTTCTGTGAAGTGATGCAGGGCAAGCCTGAATTCACCGACCACCTCACCCACAAGCTCAAGCATCACCCCGGTCAGATTGAAGCGGCTGCCATCATGGAGCATGTGCTGGAAGGCAGCTCCTACATGAAGGCCGCAGCCAAGCTCCACGAAACGGACCCGCTGCAGAAGCCCAAGCAGGACAGGTACGCTCTGAGGACGTCTCCCCAGTGGCTGGGCCCCCAAATCGAGGTGATCCGCGCTGCCACACACTCCATCCAGAGGGAGATCAACTCTGTGAACGACAACCCGCTCATCGATGTGTCCCGAGATATGGCAGTGCACGGTGGAAACTTCCAGGGCACTCCCATCGGAGTGTCCATGGACAACATGCGACTGGCAATTGCAGCCATGGGCAAGCTCATGTTCGCTCAGATGTCGGAGCTCGTCAACGACTTCTATAACGGCGGGCTTCCATCGAATCTGACGGGAGGTCCTAATCCGAGCTTGGATTATGGATTCAAAGGCGCGGAGATAGCCATGGCGTCTTACACTTCAGAGCTCTTGTATTTGGCCGGTCCAGTGACCACCCATGTGCAGAGTGCGGAGCAACACAACCAGGACGTGAACTCTCTTGGTCTCATCTCAGCTCGCAAAACAGAGGAAGCTATCGAAATCTTCAAGCTCATGTGCTCCACATATTTGGTGGCGTTGTGCCAGGCTGTGGATCTGCGACACTTGGAGGAGAACATGCTAGCAAGCGTCAAGCAAGTGGTCTCTCAAGCGGCCAAAAGAACTTTGTTCACCGATAACGAAGGCTGCCTACTGCCATCGCGCTTCTGTGAGAAGGACCTTCTGAAAGTGGTGGATAATTTGCCTCCTTTCTCGTACATAGACGATGCTACCAGCGCATCCTACCCTCTGATGCAGAAACTGAGGCAATGTCTGGTGAATAGTGCGCTCAGTCCCGCCAATGATGATGAGGGCTGTAGTACATTCAGAAGAATCTCGGTCTTCGAGGAGCAGCTAAAGATCGGGCTGGAGTCTACCATCCCCTCCATTCGAGGGCAATTCGACAATGGCGTCACAGCAGTACCAAACAGAATCACTGACTGCAGGAGTTATCCTCTGTACAATTTTGTAAGATCATTAGGCACCAAGTTACTAGTAGGCACGGAGACGAGGTCACCAGGGCAGGATATCGAGCTCGTTTTTGAAGCCATTTCGGAAGGCAAGATGGCCACTCCCTTACTTGAATGTTTATCAGTGTGGGACGGATGTCCGAGATCCATCAAGCCTTCCAAAACAATAGCGTAAGATGCTACATAAACATCTGTACATAGCATAAGAGAAGTAGTTCTTTATTTGTAAGTTATCAACAATTTGATACGACCCAGTGGAAATATATTTTTTCAAGCACCAACGAATTTCAGCGCCCATGAATTTCAGCGCCCATGCGATGCATGAATCTTGACTTATCACATTTGAGCTGTAATAATAAGAATCGCAGTAATTAGAACTATATCTTCGCAACTGCCTGCAATGTATGCTGATGTTGCGACGCATTTCAAGACAGGTCTCCAGAGAGTATTCTGAGCTGTACATGAAGAATGGACTTTGTGTACTGGACACAATCTCGAGCGCTCATTGCATATAAAGTTTCATCGAGGATTTGCACTTCTTGTAATCTGTATTCTCTCGTACACTGGCCGAGTTGGATGGACAATCGACCAATTTGTATTGGCTGCTCTTGTCATCCAATTGGTTGATTTCAGCTGAGAGAGAGAGAGAGAGAGAGAGAGAGAGAGATTTTCACTGTACTAACATTCTTTCTAGAAACTAAATGTAATTTCTTCGGTGGGATCATGGAACGCAGTCAGACACAGTGCAGTTGTGTCATACTCTGACTACAGCTAGCAATCCTATCACCGACATTCACAACTAGCGCGCTGGGAGCATCCGAAATTGTGAACGACGTTTCCCCTCAAAATTTCAATGGCCGATAGAGATTTGGAAATGCCGGAAAGTTCCTGGATAATTGTTCCACAGAAAAGTTGAGCTTGTACAATGAACTTCCGGACTAAATTCAGAAGTTATTCCTGCAATTACCGAATGCCATTGACCGGGCCGTTTCTCCACTGGACAAAAATTCCCTTCGAACACTGCTCAAATCACGACAAAAAACTTATCGAATTTATCTGGGATTTATCGGATCCCGAGTCCTACGAAGATGAAAGAATAATCGTCAGAAATTTTTCTTAGGATTATTCTAGCAGCCTGATCACCGCAATGAATGCTGAAGATCTTCCTTCTAAGATTACTCCAATGATTATCTCAACGCCTATGTGGCAAGGGACACAAAGTCAGCTCTCTAGTAATGTCTACAGATGACCTACGAACTCCTCAATCTTCGCTAATAAAGTTAGTTTCGCATTTATTGCTGAACAGCTGAAAAGAAAAGTACTGTTCATCAAAACCTCTGATCAAGTTTTCTGATATCGGATCATGTTACTCAGAAGATTGATTGCTCGATCCGCTTATTTTCTTACGAGTTCCTTACACTGAAACTATCGAGTCAAAGCTCTCGGAGGCCAAGCAAGAAGAACGTGTGTGCATGCTTTCCTTATATTACAGCAAAAGAAAATATATGCATCATACGTCTGATTGACTTTTAAAGTTGGTGCAGCTCGAGAGAACTGCCTCATTCGAGTTATGTTTTTCTATCCTCCACCAGAATAATTTGTTTATCTTGTCAGAGCGATATAATAGTGGGATCGGCAGGCAAGCTCGGAATATTCACTGGACTTAGATCGTTCGAGATTTTGAAGCCTTTCATTATGTTGTTCATCTCACCGCAAAATATCAGTGCGGTTCCTCAAGCAGGTCTAGAAACTGGATGACGTTGTCCCTTAAGTTCTTCACTTAACCTCCTATATCCATCTCTGCGCATGAACCACTGGCTTCAAAGTGTACGGATGGAGATCCTCTCGGGGTGAGGTTAAGCTGCGAACAGAAACCGAATGTGCTGATCGTGGAAATGTGACTGTTAATCGGCTGTAGACATGGGGACCCGTCTGCCATGTTCTGCATGATGCTTATAGCGGGACTAGATGACTGGTTTGAGAGAAGGCAGTAGGAGGTGGGCCATGCATGGATGGTCGAGGCGTTCTGCATGTGGCTTCAGACGCGAAAAGCATTGTGTAGAAGAAACTTTAAGCGATTCCCTTTTATATACAGGTATTGCCGATGTAAGGTACACGCTTTCACAAGCTCGTACGTCTCGACACAAAGAATCATCCTAGGTTTGTGGCATAAGCGGCTACAGTCTTAGGCTGCAATTGAGCCGTACCTCTTATCAACAGATCTCCCTCCCCTCTACCGTAGTATATGGTACTGTAACGAGTGATATAATTCCGTGCTAGACTGTTCTGCATGTTGCGGCAGTCCTCGGGGAAACATTACCTAGCGTACAGGATTCGCAGAATCCAAGGACTTCCCTTTCGTTATCTAAATTTAAAAACTTCTATGGAGGTAGGAGATATATTATCAAAAATCACTTCCGAGTGATCGGCCTTAGTCTAGGAGTTTAGTGACCAGTGGCAATGGCTTTCAGTACCGAAACTTCGACTGTCAAACCGGGTCCGAATCCAACTACCAGCCCCCACTCGCATCCTTCTCCTGTGGTTAAGCTGTTCTTCTCAGCCGACCGCCTCCTCATCTGATCCAGCACGAACAGCACGCTAGCACCGGACATGTTTCCGTAATTGTACAGAATATCTCTCGTCGCCTCCAATTTCTCCGGCTTCAAGCTCAGAGTCTTGGCCACTTCGTCCAGAATGGCACGGCCTCCCGGGTGTACACACCAGAACAGATCGTTCCAGCTCGGAGATCCTGCCACTTCAATTGCTTTGTTGAAAATGGGAAGGGTGTTTCTGGAGATGAGGCCGGGGACGTCCTTCAGCAGATGGAAAATGAGTCCAGCTTCTGTCAGCCGGCCCTCAATAGCACCATCGCTCTCTGGCAAAATAGTCTCCCCTGACCAGTGAATCTCGAACTGGGGTTTCTCCACCTCAGGTATAGGATCAGATCCGATGACTAGTACTGAAGCTCCGTCGCCGAAGATGGCTGAACCCACCAGATTGTCCAGATGTTCTTCGTTGGGTGCACGGAAGGTCACACACGTGAGCTCGCTCACCACTGTCAGCACACGGGCGCCCTTGTTGTTCTCAGCCAGATCTTTGGCGACGCGCAGGACTGTTGCGCCTCCGAAGCAGCCTTGTTGGTAGAGCATGGTGCGGTTCACGTTCGGGTTCAAACCCAAGAGCCTGGTTAGAGTGAGGTCCGCTCCGGGCATGTTCACTCCGCTCGTGGTTGCAAACACGACATGAGTGATTTGCTCTCTTGGTTGGCCCCATTCTGCCAAGGCCTCAATCGCTGCCTTTTCTGCCAATCTGGGCACCTCTCTGATGGCAATATCTTGTCGGATATCCAGAGAAGGTTCCAGGTACGTGCACATCGAAGGATTCGCCTTCAGGATGTCCTCTGTGCAATGGAAGTACCTTTTGTTGATCCCTGAGTTCTTGCCTGAACAGAAAGATTTAATGACGTTGGTCAGATTATAAGATCGAGACACTGAAAGTATGAATTTGAAGTAAAATATCTACTGATCATACTCTTAAATGTGTCTTCTCAAGCGAGCACTATCAGCAAGGACCAGGAGAACAATCTGCACCATAAGGCAGTGTAGACGGAGATGATACTTACAAATTCGAGCGAATTTGGCTTTGAGCTCAGTCTTGTGATTGCAGTTAGTTATGTTGAAGAAGAAATCCGGGTACTCGCTCTGAGGATACGCTGTGGGGGGAGTCGCCTTGCCAATAGCGAGAACTGTCGCTGGCCCAACAGCCCTCCGGTGTTTGTAAGCAGCGGCATTGACGTTGTTGGCCATTTCTTCAGCTGGAAAGCACTGCAAGACTGTCTCACAATCTCAGTACTAAACTCTATCGAGCTTTGAGGAAGTAAGTGACTGGAGCCTGTAGCTCGTTCCCAGAATCAGATAGAAGAAGCACAAGACGAATGCTCACAATCTCCCACAATCTGGCTGAGAGAGGCCTGACTGTGCTGCTTGGCGATGCGTTCACTTCTCAGCATATATACTCCTGCAATATGTGAGCTTCGGCTTCAACACGCCACCAGTCCGGAGGTCGGTGCGCAAGGTCTACTGGATTATGGCCACGAGACCGCTGAAGTCGGAAAACCTGAGCACCTGACCTGTAGATCCGTGGGACGATATCATTGACCGAATGGACACGGTCGGACAGTTTCGAGGAAGAATTGCTTGGTGGGACCCCCTCTCTCGTCCACGGGCATTCCCTGTCTTCTTCGAAGAGAAGACCCCCAAATTCCATTTAAGTCAACTTCCTGACCTTTAAATTCAGACCCTTAACTACAGAGAATAAACTCTGCGTAACGTGACAGCGCAAGACCGAGTCCACATCTAAAGAAAGGATTCGCCACATCTAAACAGGAAAGTTCCACAGGAGACGGTAATATTTTTTAGCAGCAGTTTGTAACCGGTTTCTAGCAAAGGACTTTTGAAAAAATTAATAATTTTGGTTTTAAGGTCGTTTTATAATAAATATATAATAATTTCATTTTTTAAATTTTTATTTATATCTGGGTTATCCAGATCCTTTTTTTCGTAAAATTAAATTAAATATCATTTTTTCACAATAATAGATTTCATGATGAAGTTAAGAATATTTAACGAAAATATATCTGTTTAAAATTATTAAGAAATTGAACATAAATTACATATGAATTGAAATAATAGAAAATTGAAAAATATGAATTGACACTAGAAATAACATGTGAAAGCTTTAAATGTATATTTATTTAGCTCAGGTTTGTTTTTATCACCTAGTATTGTCAATTGTTTCCCAGGTGAAACACGAGAGCCTTACATGATTTCATTGTGTAACATGTCAGATTACAATGTCATGGTATTTTTCCTTTAGTCGACTTTTGACACTAGCGTCCCAGTTAAAGCGGACAAGCCTACTGGACTCATAGGAGAGCAAAGATTCGGCTACTCTTACCACCTGCTTCTCACAAGAGCATAGAGGCTCGGTCTAGGACTGTTTGTGCAAATCTACACTGCACGTCGTACAACTGTATGACGTAACTTGCCCCTTTCATTGCGCGCTAAAGTTGAAGACTGAATCATTAGCCAGGGCAATCTATGATATAAAAAGTCTCGCGCCCACGGTCGTGAGAATTGCCGTACCCACTGGGATCATTTGGTCATGAGATCAGAACCTACTCTCTGTGCCATGGTTGTTGTGCGGCTGGGTTGTGGCAGTGAATGCTGTGGTCGTTTGTGCATGGAGAAGTGAGGATCTCCTGTTGCATAATGTAAGTTGGGAATTGTGAGGGCTGTGAGTCTTGATTCCAATTCATGCTATGCTATTCGTTGGGAGCTGAAAAAAAGGCGACATAGTTTCCAAAATATCTCCTCGTTTTAAAAGAGGACCAGTGGTTCAGCCCTGTAGATTCCACAGGTCTTCACTTCTAGGACTGCATGACTCATAGAGTCCAAACACCAACTACCAGTCTTCATGGTCACAGTCACAGCACCGACAGGAAAATCCTCTGAACGAATATTTCGTGAATATTTTGTGAGGACCTTAGTCTCTAGCACATATTTCTCGTTTGAGCTTCGGTCTTGGGGAGTGTTTGTCGGCATGTCGAAATAAGCAATGAATGGACTTGGCACCAGCCCAAGTCCATACACGGCTCGCCGTTTGCAAATGAAAAGCCCATATTCAAAACAAAAATCCCAACTCTTTTGTGTCTCTCATAATGAAAATAATGATTTAACAGCCGACCGTCGAAGCCGATCGTGAACTTGTGGGAGGACAATTTGACTGTCGGAGAAAGGATGGCGGGTCGGATTCTACTCAATTGTAGTGTATGTTGTCAATTGTCCTTAAGAGGGATCCTTGTTTCCATGAATCTGACCATGAACGACCTCGTGACTGAATGTAAATCAGGGGCATCCTGGCAACGCACCTTTTTGCTTTTCTTTTTCAATACTGGGAGAAAGTTTCGCTCCACTTTCTAAACCTGGCTTCATTGAGTCTGTTCAGGCAACTACAGTCCGAAATTTGAAGTTATAGTTTTCTAGTGTTATTCGTGTACTTATAATCTTTAATTTTAGTGAATCTAGTTTTAATTCCATATATATATATATACTTATATTTTTATGTGTGTGTTGGTATATATGTTTCTAAAGATCTGTTCGAATAATCTTATTTGAATAAAAGAAATATATATGATATCATCAAGAGTATGATGATATTATAAATATAAATGAAATATAGAAACATAATTCATTATCGTAAAATTATTATAATAAAAATATCTGCATAAATCATAAGAATATATATAAAACAATTTGTACATCTCCTTGTATACATTTGTGAATGAGATTTAGATAATGATAAGTAATGTACATTTTAAACTTATTGTATAGATGATTTATAAGATGAGACCTGTTTCAAAAGTGCTTAGTGCTACGTATTGTACTTGTCTTATAGGCTCGTGGAGCTGCGCTTTTCCTCGACTATTGTGCTAGAGTCATTGGCCTGCATAAAACACACGCGCCTATCGCCTAGTTGTTACTTTACAAGGGCACAGGTACCTAGAATAGGTGAACCTTGAGTTCCTCATATGGAGTTCATTTGCCTCTAGATAAGTGGAATATTGCAGTTGAAAAATCTACTGACGTTGCTACTATGACCACTAGTGTCATGCTTGCTTTTATTTGTTGCATGTAAAAAAGTTTCTTATTTTATAGTTCACTTGCTTTCGACACAGTCGAGTCTCGATAAGTTCAAGGCCTCGGGAGGCAGTGGACTGCATCGAGTGGTGCAAGACAATGAACAACTCGATCATGCATTGTCTTGTGCGCGTAAAACATTTCAACGAGTTCAAAGCGCTCTGCACAGAGTACTTCCACGAACTGTTCATGCACAATCCCTTAACTGTAGTTAGATGGGAAGTTGCCAGTTCGTACTTGAAGTTCGTATGTAGTTAGACTCTATGTAGTCTTGTAGTGGATGAAGAGACTTGTTTTTCATACGTTCAAGGCGCTTCATCTCCGAACCCCATTAGAAGACAAGTGCATTACAAGAATACTTCTTTCTTAAAGACTCACCCGATGGCTTGAACTCAACTATGCATCGATGAAAGTTCATCGACCCTGAACTTAAAGAAAACTGGCATCATAGTGTATAATTGGCTTGGTCTCACTAAATCGTCATAAGCAATCTTTTCTCCTATAATGTTAATTCGCTTGTCTTACTCTTACAACAATTCAACCCAATTGGAAAATCATAAGAGCCGAGAGAACAATACAACAGAACAGATTAAACAAGGCTCAGCGTAACCAAAAAATTGAATGATGAAATTTAACAGGAAACAGGAAAACTTAGCATAATGAGAAGTCTTTCCTACAGTCCTCCTACGACCTTTAGCAATTTCTATCTCATAGAGTGTAGCTGTTTGAAGTTGATTCGAAGCTCGTAACGGCAAGCAGGTTTTAGTTTGCAAAGACAACAAATTTCGACTTCTATTAGTACAAAACCCCGAATAAAATACAGAGTTCTCCTCAATATGTGAGGGACAGCTACCATCTATATAAATAGAAATGGTGCATAGTCTATTGAATAGGCTTTCTCTGTCATTCCATCTGTGGTATTCCGGAAACAATGTCTGTGTGAAATTAATGAATCATTTGGGACTTGAATTTGGCGAATTGCACCTGTTAGATCATAATCTCCCAACTACTATAGTTTCATCTATCACTTTAGATGCAGTTCACTAACTATGTGGGTGCATGGAAATGATCTGATTTTACATTGGAGCTCCATACAGCATTGTATGGCTATAAATATATTAAGATACGACTATTTTTTAAGTAATCTTTGAGTTTTAGCTCAATGCCAAACTTAACTTGAACAAATGTTCGTCCTTCTTGAAGTACTTTTCCTGGCTAAGAGTAGCTAAAGAGTGACTAGTTTTCCTGCTTGAACTACCCTGGCAAGGCAAGGTCCCACTTGCCAGTTGAAGTGGAGCCAAAGAAGTGTCCGAATTCTTTTCATCACATTGGTTTAGGCCTGATTTTTATTTTCTGTGTGTGCATGCAAAAGGCATATATGAGGAACCGTGTGCATCCAGTGCAGACCGATAAGTTTCTTCACTATTTTGGAAGTCAAGCTATGATATCGTGGCTCCCTTCTTGACCACCTATATGACTACTTGCCCTCATCGTACAGTGTGAAACGTTCTTTGCGTGTGTGATCAAGTGAGCTGAATTGCCATGAAATGGATGGACAGTTTCCGGGTTATGTCATATTCAGCGCTGCAAGTATGATTGATCTCGAATATCTGCTTTTAATCATCTCACCAGCTATGCAAAGTGGTAACAAGAATCTGTCTCCAAAGTAGAGAAAAACAAAAATGAGTTCAAGCCATGGCTGGAAAATGCATATGCATATGCATGTGAGAACGGCTTCAAGTAGGAAAGTATATCTTAAATTATTTCGAGCATTTTGTGTTGATTATTTACAATCCTCGTAAAGCACATATCTTGATCAGCTCATGCCTTCCGAGATGGTCGTCAGCTTTAAGACAATCATTGACGTCTCAGATTCGGATCTACCCGTCTATGTTACACTTGATCCCAAGAGTGTAAACTCACTTCTTAATTAAACGTATCTTACTCTGCACCCGCCTCTCAGACTCCTGGAAATTAATCTTATCTAGCATCGTGCTTCCTGAGTGTTCAAAGTGTTATCTTCAATGATCTAGTTACTGAACAAATATTGATTGTGGAAAGTGGGATTGTCTTTGAAGATCTAAATCGAAGAAATTTAGTGACCAGTAGCAATTGCTTTCAAAACCGAAACTTCAATCGTCAAACCAGGTCCAAAACCCACTACGAGTCCCCATTCACACCCTTCTCCAGTTGTGATGCTATGCTTCTCAGCTGACCGCCTCCTCATCTGATCCAGGACAAATAGCACACTAGCACCAGACATGTTGCCGTAGTTGTAAAGCACATCTCTCGTCGCCTCCATCTTCTCTGGCTTCAAGTTCAATGTTTTGGCCACTTCGTCAAGAATGGCACGACCTCCCGGGTGCACACACCAAAACAGATCGTTCCAGCCTGGGGATCCTGCCACCTCAATTGCCTTGTTGAAGATGGGAAGAGTGTTTCTTGAGATCAGGCCGGGAACATCCTTCAGCAGATGGAAAATCAGGCCTGCTTCAGTCAGGCGTCCCTCGATGGCGCCATCACTCTCTGGCAGAATGGTCTCACCTGACCAGTGAATCTCGAACTGGGGTTTCTCCACCTCAGGGACCGGGTCAGAACCGATGACGAGGACTGCAGCTCCATCGCCGAAGATGGCTGAACCCACCAGATTGTCCAAATGTTCCTCGTTGGGTGCGCGGAACGTTACACAGGTGAGCTCGCTCACCACCGTCAATACTCGGGCGCCCTTGTTGTTCTCAGCCAGATCTTTGGCGACTCGCAGAACCGTAGCTCCTCCAAAGCACCCTTGCTGGTAGAGCATGGTACGCTTCACATTCGGGTTCAATCCGAGAAGCCTGGTGAGAGTGAGATCAGCTCCGGGCATGTTCACCCCGCTCGTTGTTGCAAACACGACGTGGGTGATTTGATCTCTGGGTTGGCCCCATTCTGCCAAGGCTTCAATCGCTGCCTTCTCTGCCAATCTGGGAACTTCTCTGATGGCGATGTCTTGTCGAATATCCAAAGAAGGTTCAAGATAAGTGCACATCGAAGGATTGGCCTTCAGGATGTCTTCTGTGCAGTGAAAGTACCTTGTGTTGATTCCTGAATTTTTGCCTGAATAACCAAAATGACACGAGTAACATGATTAGGTAGAGAATTTCGAAATTCAACCAGCCTATCTATTTGATCAGCGTTGCATTTACAGAAATCTAATTCCAAGCGTACTGAGCAGAATATCAGAAGACAACATAGAGGTGGAATAAAACAAATCATGATACTTGTGAGTACTTACATATGCGAGCAAATTTGGCTTTGAGTTGTGTTTTGTGATTGGTATTGGTGATGTCGAAGAAGAAGTCTGGATATTCACTCTGAGGAAAGGCTGTAGGAGGAGTGGCTTTGCCAATGGCAAGAACTGTCGCTGGTCCTTCAGCCTTCTGGTGTTTGTAAGCAGTAGCATTGGCATTGTTGGCCATTTCTACAGATGTTCTACAAAATCAAACAATCACAAACTCTAATGTTCGAAAGAGAGAGAGAGAGATCTGATAAATGTATCTCTCAGTCTCTGGTTGTAGGAGGAGAACAAAACTCTCCAATGTGGATGAGAGCAAGAGTAATGCTGGTGTTTATAAGCTCCGACGTACATAGTCTATGTAGTTTTGCAAACTTACACTGACATCATAAAGTCACTAGTAATGTTTGGAAAGGTGAATGGATGGATGGTGTGAGTGAGTCTCAGCAGCATATTTGCAAATATTTGCATGGGACTGTTAAGAGTCAACCATTGACTGGCTATACAAAGTCAGACACCTGTCATGAAGATTTGTTCGGTGAAACTTTCCTTCCTCGGGATAAAAGTCACTTCACCAACATGGAAGAAAAGTCAGTCTTCAAAGAACGCCAACCGTACAATCCTTCAGTAAAACATGTTTTTAAATTAACTTCTTTACACTGCGCATGTAATCAAAATAGCAGTTACTGTATAAAAACTATAGTTGATGTGTTCCACTGTGCATTATGGATTACTGTCCTTTGACGCAATGTCAATCAGAATTGCTGACAGACAATGTATCATTTCAAGTATGCATACATATTTAATTGATATATTCCATATAATTTTTGGTAGTATGATCCTTGAACGTTATTTCACTTATAACTGGTGAAGGACCATGGATTATTCCATACTAGATGTACGTTCTTTCTTTATAACCATCTTTCCAACATATGTTTAGATACCTTACTTCAATACCTCTCCAAGCTATTTACAGAAACTCCAACTACCATCAGGTTGGTATTGGAAACTTGTCAATAAACCAATTCAAGACACACGTTTGTTGATCAACTTTACAATGGGCCAGACTGATACAAAAAGACTTGAAGAAAAGTCAAAAGATAATGTGAAATACTAGGACCGGTACTTAACAAACAATCTGTAGAGCAGTACCAGGACTATCCGGAGGCGACCGAGGTCAAACAAAGATGGTGATATCCAATCGATGTTTTTATCCAATGGTCTGAGTCGTCTCATGCGTTCACGTTCACAGGGGGCCGCAGAGATGAAGAGCAGCACGAGCGGAGAGCGGAGAGCGGTGTGACTGCGGACTTGTGGTTGGATTCGGGTCTAGCTTTACAATTAAGGTCTCTGTCTCAGAAGGTTGTATATACAGGTCAGTGGGGAAGAGCGGGAAGAAGAAGGGGGAGAGGGCCAGATGGACCGAAAGGGGAAGGAAGAAGCTTAAACTACAAATAAAGGGAGCGGCGGAAAAGGGCAGGTCGGGATTGGAAAACGTTGGCGTAATTGAAGGGAAGATAGATGGAGATCAGGAGGAAGGTTGACAGGGTCCTAGACACAACTCACTGGATGACGGTGGGAGAGTAGAGGTGGACAACCGTTTGAGAGGCTAAGTCGGTCTATGAAGCTAGAACAAGGTAGGTTCCACACAAGTTGATTGTAGAAAGTGCAAGATTCTCACGAAATGCCCATATTCGAATAAACTTTTAATACCTGCTTGAACTTTACAAGTTTGTAGAGCTGAAATTTACTAACTATTTTTGATAATTGTAACAAAGCCCAGTAATTGTTCAAGTGTAATTCAGTTTTATACATAAAGTGGAACATACTCGTATTAGCTGCACGACACCTTGAACCATGTTCCAATACAAGTTCTTGTAACATTGTGGACATTTTCTCAAGTCATTTTTTAGTACATTGTTTTTTATTTCGTGTAAATTTGTTACAAGACTTCGTATTGCAACGTGGATTGCACGGCGTCGGAGTAATTTCATTAGGTAAAATGAATCATGTTAGATCTCAAGTGTTATCATGTCAAAAAATGTTTTGCGTGTCATAAGGATTCCATCTAGTAATTATTTCGCGGATCATAAATTGCAACCTCTTACTACAAATGTAACTTTTGCACACGGATCCTTTGTTGCAAGAACTATGATTGTTATCATATTAGTTACTCACGGATTGGTAATGTTTATCATAATGTGATAGATTAATCAACATATTGGCAAATCGTAGAAGATACAAGCTTACTCATTCGAAGTTAACATGCTATGCAAGATTTATCAGATGATAAAGAAAAGAAACAAAAATTCCAAATTGTGTATGAATAAACATAAAAATCTTAGCAATACAAAGAGACATCTTGAAGATTTTAATTACATAAGTTAGCAATTAGATAGACTGATTGATATATATATGTAATACTAACTGATTGTACTTATGTTATTATGAGGTCACACGTCATCTTCTTGTCAATTGAAATGAAGAATATAATTTAAATCCAACAATAACTAAATAGTAGTGGTGATGACAAATTGATTCAATCTTGATATATCTTTGTATGCCTTCGAAGTATAAAGGTGATAATAAGATTCTGAGTAATTGAACATGATGGCGCGTAGATCGTAGTTCAAGGATGGAGATTTATGTAATTGAAATAAATGTAAACATGAAGATTTGGCTAGTCATAATATAAGACTTCATATAACTTTTACTTTAAATCTTGTGATCAATATTGAGTGCCCATCAAAATCATTTTTGGATTTTTTTAATATATCATTTTTGATGATAAAAGTTGAAAACTGTTATTTTTTGACATTATTGAATATATTATTCTGCTGATTTTTTGCACAATATTGATTGAATTTATATTATTTATATTTTGCTTGAATTTTGACATTACTGATTTGAACTGGCCAATTGTTGCACCTTTTGATATTTGGATTCATATTCAAATTCAATGCTAATATTAAATTTCTTAAAAAAATTTTATAACCAGATTTTTTGGAAATAAATATTAATTTTAAATGATATACTTTTAAATTTAAATTTAGCTTTTACTAAAATTTAATAATACTGTTATGCTCAAAATAACTAGCTATATATTCTGATTTATAAATTTTATTTATACTAGATATAAAAATATAGATTTGAAAAATAATGTAGCTTAAAAAAATTTGCATAAAATTGAAATAATTTGAAACCAAATTTTTTTTTTCAATTTATACGCAACATTATACTTCAAAGTATGCATAATATTTCAATATTGGCCTTAAAGTATTTCATATTTTAAACCTAATCATGATATAATATGTGATGTTTTCATTATAATTTTCAAATGCCAGTATATTATATATTTTTTATTTCAATAGAAAATTATTATTTGATTTCAAGTTGATCACTAAATAACTAAGAAAAGAAGATTAAATATTTAAAATCTAATAATATCACAATGAAATTTGAAATTTTTAATACAAAATCTTAAGCATTAGAATGTAAGTCTAAAGCATTAAAGAGAAATCACGTTATTATAATAGATAAAATTTATGTGTATGTAACCTTACTAAGTGAACTCAAAAGATGTAGACTTAAAATAAATTGATTAAATGTTTAAGAATGTCATATTGTTTTTCATCATTTTAATTTTTATAAAAAAAATTCATAAGAAATTTTGATATTAAAATATTCATATGTATAACAAGAAAGTTTTGGAATTAGTTTATTAATTTTGATGATCATCAAAGAATTATGTATAATACAGTGAATTAAATTATTTTTTAAATAACTCTAAAAATTAAGGTTCAATATAATAAAAATTTCTAAGTAGGCATCTCAAAAAAAAAATTAAAAAAAATTTTGATTTATAAAATTTGAATTATAATTTTGTTAACGCATATTTGGATATATTTTTTTTGAAAAAAATTTAATCATTATAAGATTATTAATTTAGAAAATTTAATTAAAAATTTAAATCATATATCTCATTCTTATTTTTCTAAAAAATTAAAATAAAATTAGTATATATATATATGAAAAGAAATCAGTTTCCATACAAATCTAATTAGTTGTACATATTGTCATTAAATTCTGCTGATTAAATTTTTATGAATGATATCACACACTCAATATGTTGAAATGAATCATGACGTTTTCTATGAACGTTTTGGAATTACATTGCAATCTCGCAACTTGAGGAGCTTGTTAATCTCTAAAACTCTTAGTATATTGAGTTTTTTTCAATAATGCTGACTTTTTCTAATAAATTATTATCAAATTTTGTACCATTTTAACATATCATTTTAGGATGAATCTTTTGGTAGGGTTGGTCAAACATTGAGAAAAAAAAATCATTAAGTTTGAGCTTGGAAATACATCATATAACAAACAGGAAGTTTCAAATAATCTTGTCCTCTGAAGACTATCGTTGAAATTCACATAAATATTTTTTCCATATTTTATTAGAATCTAATTCAACATATTACAACCTACCCAGTCATAAATATCATAGCAACTACAACCAAGTCAATATATTATGTTGAATCTAACTTGAGATTTTTCAAAGACTTTGCAAATGAAAGCTTTTTAATCACCATCTTAGAAGTTGGAGTGTTCCATGAAAGATGGAGAAATAACTGAACAAAAAGCCATGCATATGTGCACTAAGAAAACGATCATGTTACTCTCTAACTTATTTCTCCAAATTTCTTCCAAGATGTGTCTTGGAAACAAGCTCTTTTGTTTCAATCTTACATTGCCACCGAAAGACAGTTAGTATCAAACTTTAATGCCAGCTCAGAACTCAGCTTCCTTACTTGCCTGCGAAGGCTGAGTTCCGAGATAGCAATCAATTGTTGCTGTTAACGGTATTTTTGTCTTCTAGCTTAGGGTCTGATCCCTGTTATATAACCAATAACAGCATACACACACTGTCTGGCTTTTAGACTTCATATCGCAAAAGCAATAATCTGTTTGAAAGGTCTCGTCCTTCCAGACGCTATAGTACAGAATATCTCGTCCTCGTTTGGTTTGAACTAAGTCGTATCGAGGCTTATCCAGTGATATCAGGAAATAAAAGCTGTAGATTCGTTAGTTCCGTGCAATTTCATAATATGATTGAGCATGTTTTGTGATAATATCGTTGATAATAATACGCTGCACCTGCAGGAGAAGTGTAATGCTTTCCTATCAGTCAGGTTCAAAAGTCCAAAACCTCAGAAGCTGCAAGTGATGTGACTATCCCTTGCTCTCCTGTAATCTGCATACGCTTGTCCTTTTTGAAGCACATAAACATCTTGTTTAAAAAAAGGAGGATTTCTGAAAATGTGTGAGACGATGTTAAAGACGATTTCAATGACGATAGATAGCAGTTGTAGTAAATGTTGTAGTAAATGTAAGATACATGTCTTCGTTGGCCTCCGCCTTTGGAGAAAAGAATCATCCTAAATGTTCATCTCCTTCTTTCCTGGATGATCTATAGGTACATTCCTCCAGGAATATTAATTTACAACAGTGCTAGTTCAATTGCCAGGATCCTGACAACTCGAATTCTTTACTTCCACGATGTGGAAAAAAAGAAAACTTATATTTTTCTATAAGTATTCACTAACTAATCCTCTCTGCATTCAGCTCCGTTTGGGCTGAAATTTTTGAAAACCTATTGCCAATCTAATCTATTCCCGTGTTTCCAAGTTTCCTCCTCAAAGAAACTAACAAGCTCATCCTCATGCACGTGACTATCTTTTATTAATGTTGTAAACCCTCGGGTTCAATGACCAGTGGCAATCGCTTTCAAAACAGATACTTCGATCGTCAAACCAGGTCCGAATCCAACCACCAGTCCCCAGTCACAACCTTCTCCAGTTGTGGTACTCTTCTTCTCAGCTGACCGCCTCCTCATATGATCCAATACGAACAGTACGCTAGCACCAGACATATTTCCGTAGTTGTAGAGAACATCTCTAGTTGCCTCCATCTTCTCTGGCTTCAAGCTCAGGGTTTTGGCTACTTCGTCAAGAATGGCACGACCTCCCGGGTGCACACACCAGAACAGATCGTTCCAGCCGGGGGATCCTGCCACCTCGATAGCCTTGTTGAAGATGGGAAGAGTGTTTCTTGAGATCAGGCCGGGAACGTCCTTCAGCAGATGGAAAATCAGGCCTGCCTCAGTCAGGCGCCCCTCGATGGCGCCATCACTCTCGGGCAGAATCGTCTCACCTGACCAGTGAATCTCAAACTGGGCTTTCTCCACCTCAGGGACCGGGTCAGAACCAATAACGAGAACTGCAGCTCCATCACCGAAGATGGCTGAGCCCACCAGATTGTCCAGATGTTCCTCGTTAGGTGCTCGGAATGTCACGCATGTAAGCTCGCTCACCACCGTCAATACTCGGGCGCCCTTGTTGTTCTCGGCCAGGTCCTTGGCCACACGCAGAACCGTGGCTCCTCCGAAGCACCCTTGCTGGTACAGCATGGTGCGTTTCACATTGGGATTTAGCCCCAAAAGTCTGGTGAGAGTGAGATCGGCTCCGGGCATGTTCACTCCGCTCGTGGTTGCGAAGACGACGTGAGTGATCTGGGATCTGGGTTGGCCCCATTCCGCCAAGGCCTCGACGGCTGCCTTCTCCGCCAGTCTGGGCACCTCTCTGATGGCAATGTCCTGTCGAACATCAAGAGAAGGCTCCAGATATGTGCACATCGAAGGGTTGGCTCTCAGAATGTCCTCTGTGCAATGGAAGTACCTCTTGTTGATGCCCGAATTCTTGCCTGAACATAGAGAAGGACACGTAAAAGATGATCAGCAGTGACGAAAGAATTGAGAATGGTTCGATCCAAAACAGGTAGACAATAAATCAAGTCTAGGTGAGGAAATTTTAGAGTACATTCTATGAATCGAACGATCGAGAGAACAATGACCACACTTACATATACGAGCGAATTTGGCTTTGAGCTCAGTCTTGTGACTGGAGTTGGTGATGTCGAAAAAGAAGTCCGGGTATTCACTTTGAGGAAAAGCTGTGGGAGGAGTAGCTTTGCCAATCGCTAGAACTGTTGCCGGTCCAACAGCCCTTGGGTGTCTGTACGCAGCACCATTGCCGATGTTTGCCATTTCTTCAGCTGAATCTACACTCTCGGAGCAAGTATTAACGTCTGAGATCTACACTCGGCAAATTTCGATATCTAGAGGGCGGATGTCCGACCTGTTCTCGGTGAATTGAAATTAATACAACACAGAGTTTGCAAACAATCGAATGTGGACGAACCTAGTGGTGGTGATCTAGAATGTGAGCTGCTGAGATTAAGTACTGGTGCCGAGTTCGTAGTGTAGTTCAGGACAAGTCCCTCGGCCAGCCAGAGTTCGGTGGATGGAATCTAGTGACTCCGGTCAGCAGGATGGGTGAAGTCCTAACAATGGCGGCGCGGAAGGAGAGGGTTGACCCAGTACTCGCGGTCACATTTCTCATACGGTCTACGCAGAGTTCTGATCCGGCGGGCCCGAGTCTGGCCCGACCTCCTGCCACCTAACATTGCACACTGTACATCGAGGTCCTTGCGGTCAAGACCGCAGTGTTCATCTTAATTTAGAACCGAGTGTGAGCGGTTAGCACGCAACTTCATACAGTCAAAGTTCTTCACGAGTTCAAGACAGTAATCTTGAGTTTCCTCCTTGGTTCTCAAGGGACAACTTTTGGTAGAGCGACCATTATCACGTGAGAACAAGGAAGTTAAATTTTTAAGAAAATAAGGATGATTTTAACATTATAAGTAGTATATAAATAAATAAATAAAGAAAGAAATAAAGAAATAAATATATATATACAAATGTGCTACAAATTTTTATTAATATTTAGTTCTTAATTTAGAATTGATTATAATTCTTAAAAAAATTATCATTTTGAATCCCTGTATTTTGAATTAAGTATCATTTGAGTGTTCATTGATGTTATGTATGATTATGAATTTTAATATCATTGATTAGATTTTTTTGAAAAAAAATCAAATGCAAATTTCAAGGAGTTTCTCGTTTGTGCACTCACATGTACTAGGGTTTAGGGTTTGAAACATCGTATTAAAATTACCTTGTCTATTTAAAATGAAATTTAGTAATTATCATTTCAATTCATTCAATACATTTTCTTACTTGATTGCAAAACTGAAGTACAAACAAGAAAACTAATGACTTGTCAACACTATTCAATAATCGTTTATTATAAACTTTTTGTTTAAAAATTGGTTTCCTGAGTGCTATGGTATATACTCTAAATACCACAGCATTAACGAAGTCAAATTTTTGTAATCTTTCATGGGCTAGAAATAATGCTTTTTTGAAGTTATTTAAAAACATGGAATGTTGAAATTTCACCTGTTAATTATATACGAAATTGGGTAAAAAATGAATATAAATTTTCATATTGTGAGATATTTATAAAAATAAAGGTTAATAAGTTGAGAATATTATCAAAAGTAAATTTACTTTTATTTTTTACATTGCAAGATATGTTTGAATGTTCTTTTATTTACAATAAATAACATTGCATTTTTGGTGCCATAATGGGAATTTATTTTTCAAGAACGAAATATTATAAATGAAAAATTTAATTTACATACAAAAAATAATGTCCATGATCACAAGTAAATGTTTTGTAAATGAAGATCACATTAGGTAGGCGATGAGTCAAGATGTTATTCGATCCAAGGAATATTCATAACGAGTATAGCTAGATTATGTATTTACGTGAATCCCGTGATGACATAACGCAGTAAAACTTTTATGTACTTTAGGAGGGATCGGTCAGGGCAACTTGTTCTCGGGACCCGTGTATGGGAATGAATCCCCACCATACGCTCCGTTTGTCAAGCTAGACCCGTCCACGCTAGGCAGCACGTGGATTTCCTCAACCTCATGGCAATCTTCTGTGAGGCTGGTTGAGTCTGATGGAGTCTGATAGCTCCAGGATCTTTGTTAATGTACCCTTCGCATGGTCCTCCATCGTTGGACCGTCCCTTGCATGGGGACTTGCGCGAGCATAATTTCCAAGGCGGAGACCTGACGGTCCTGCGGTCCCCATCACAACGGAGGGGCCTCCACAGTTCCGCAAGGCTATATACTCAGCAGCCTTGCTGAGTATATAGCACGAGGGCCGTCATTTATCTCTCATCAGCAGTTCGGCTTCCCGATCTGTCTGCTCCTTGACACTTCGCTGTGCATTTTCCGTTAAGAATTGTTAGCTTCTTGCAAACAGTTCCTCCTCTCACTTGTACACTGCGGAGTTTCGTTCTTCAAAACTCTACTAAGAGTCCGAGATTTCAATCTGAGCGAGACTCCGAAGGAATCATTGAGCACGTCTGCCGATCTTCAAAAGAAGTTTGTGCTTGTGATCGACCGACCTTTCGAGATGATGAACGAATTCTTCTCGTCGAATTTTCAGCAGATGAAAATGTCTGATGAGAAGACTGGAGATTCCATGCAGTATTGTTTGGACCCTACTGCCCAGATCGCTCCACGAACAGAAGATCCCCTGAATTGGGCAAAGGCCGCCCGGGCCATGGATTGCAGTCACTGGGAGGAGGTCTTCGACCTGGTGCAGGAATTTCAGAACGAGAAGGAGGTGGTCATTCAGGGCGTGACGCTCACAGTGGCCCAGGTTGCAGCTGTTGCCAGGCGTCCTGACGTCACTGTGGTCCTCGACGCAGCTGCAGTCAAGGACCGCGTTGACGAGAGCTCGGAATGGGTGCTCCACCACATGAGGAAGGGCACTGACACTTACGGTGTCACTACAGGCTTCGGTGCCACCTCCCACCGCCGCACTGATCAGGGGGTCGACTTACAGAGAGAGTTGATTCGTTTTCTCAACGCTGGAGTTCTCGGCAAAGATGCTTCCAACATCCTTCCGGCCTCCACGACCCGAGCAGCAATGCTGGTGAGAACCAACACTCTGCTGCAAGGGTATTCCGGAATTCGGTGGTCCATCCTCCAAACTCTGCAGAAATTTCTCAACAAGCAGATCACCCCTCAACTTCCTCTTCGGGGCACCATCACAGCTTCAGGAGATCTCGTTCCACTTTCCTACATTGCAGGTCTGCTTACCGGCCGCCCCAACTCCAAAGCCGTCACAGAATGCGGAGATGTTGTGACTGCGCACGAAGCTTTGAAGCTCGTCGGATTGCTGAAGCCATTCGAGCTGCAGCCCAAAGAGGGACTCGCACTTGTGAATGGTACAGCAGTCGGCTCAGCCTTGGCTTCCATATGTTGCTACGATGCCAACGTGCTCGCGCTCTTCGCCGAAGTGTCGTCGGCTCTGTTCTGTGAGGTGATGCAGGGCAAGCCCGAGTTCACCGACCACCTCACCCACAAGCTCAAGCATCACCCCGGACAGATTGAAGCCGCTGCCATCATGGAGCATGTGCTAGAGGGCAGCTCCTACATGAAGGCCGCAGCCAAGCTCCACGAAACGGACCCGCTCCAGAAACCCAAGCAGGACAGGTACGCTCTGAGGACGTCTCCCCAGTGGCTGGGCCCCCAAATCGAGGTGATCCGTGCAGCCACACACTCCATCGAGAGGGAGATCAACTCTGTCAACGACAACCCGCTCATCGATGTGTCCCGAGACATGGCAGTGCACGGTGGAAACTTCCAGGGCACTCCCATCGGAGTGTCCATGGACAACATGCGACTGGCCATTGCAGCCATGGGCAAGCTCATGTTCGCTCAGATGTCGGAGCTCGTCAACGACTTCTATAACGGCGGGCTTCCATCGAATCTGACGGGAGGTCCCAACCCGAGCTTGGACTATGGATTCAAAGGAGCGGAGATAGCCATGGCATCGTACACCTCGGAGCTCTTGTACTTGGCCAACCCAGTGACCACCCACGTGCAGAGTGCAGAGCAACACAACCAGGACGTGAACTCTTTGGGTCTCATCTCAGCTCGTAAAACAGAGGAAGCTATCGAGATCTTCAAGCTCATGTGCTCCACCTATTTGGTGGCGTTGTGCCAGGCTGTGGATCTGCGGCACCTGGAGGAGAACATGCAAGTGAGTGTCCAGAATGTTGTCTCTCAAGCGGCGAAGAAGACTCTCTTCACCGATGCCCAAGGCTGCCTACTGCCATCGCGGTTCTGTGAGAAGGATCTCCTCAAAGTGGTTGACAACCAGCCTCCATTCTCCTACATCGACGATGCAACCAGCGCATCCTACCCTCTGATGCAGAAGCTGAGGCAGTGCCTCGTGAGCCATGCTCTCAGTTCCGAGAATGAAGAGGAGAGATGCAGTGTTTTCAGAAGAATCTCAGTCTTCGAGGAGCAGGTCAAGACTGATCTCGAAGCCACGGTGGCCAAAGTCAGAGAGCAGTTCGACAATGGCGTCGCTGCCGTACCTAACAGAATCAGCGACTGCAGAAGCTATCCGCTCTACGACTTTGTAAGATCTCTGGGTACCAAATTACTCGTGGGCACGGAGACGAGGTCGCCAGGACAGGATATCGAGCTTGTGTATGAAGCCATCTCGCAAGGCAAGATGGCTTCGCCCCTGATTCAATGTTTGGCAGGCTGGAATGGATGTCCCAAATCAATCAAGCCTTGCAAAATTGTAGTTTAATAAGAATCCGTTGTGCCCTGCGATGATTTAGGCGAAAGAAGCGGATGTAGCTCCAGTGTACATATAGCCCGTAGAGATCTGAAATGTGAGCAACTTCAGCTCATTGTTGTAACATTATAACAATTTGATGATGAATTTGAATAATGAAAGGATTGGTTTCGAGTCATCTTCCTCAATACATGCCGTCCGGATCTATATTTCTCATACCCCTGATCACGGATCAGAGTAAGGACCTGCTTGAATTGTTGACAAATTCAACGATGATCTTTGTGCACAAGAACTAATCTGAAACAAGAGTTGCAAATTTAGGTGAACTTCGATTTAGAATGAGAGCAATGCATTCGGAGACCAGGTCATCAATAGAAGACATGGAAATATACCTCAGTACATTCAGGAATTCAGGACTGGCATGCTCCTGGCACGAATGCAGTTCTGAGAGGGCAAAGTTTTCTTGTTTCAGTCCAGCAGTAAAGATATCTGGCCTCTAGACTGCAAGCTTGAAAGTATAGAGCAGGTAGTTCTGACCTCCAAAACCTGGCAAAATTCACTGTTCAGTTTCCGCCTCCACAGCCGCCCAACCAGGGACTTGGAGCTCTCATGACTATATAATACGGCGCTTTACTCACGTGAGGTCATTGAATATCAAGTCATTGACGTTCATTCAGATTCAGCTGAGCTGTTGGACGTGGACTCCGGCACTATGAGCTTTAGCTCAGCAATTTCGGGTGATGTCTGCATCGACACGTACGTATGTCATTCAGGACAGAGAGAAAATCCATTCCGAAGAGACTCTTTCCTTCATGCATGAATGATTCTAAATAACCGTGAAGACAATTTATACACGCGGCTGCCTTTGCGTATCGTAGATACGAGAGAACAGTTGCTTCATGTCTTCAGCCTTTACTTTTCACCTTTCATCAAGCATTTGGAGGGACTCGAATTACAAAATAGAAAATCGAAGCTTAATAAGGTGGCGATTAACTTTGTTAATGGACAAGTTCATCACGAACGATGATCGTGATTCGACGTCACCATATGGAAAGAAATTCAGAAATAAATGCGGTCTATCCAGAAAAGTCCAAAGATGAGCGCATTTTATTGACAGTGACATACAGTGATGAAGTGATTTCTGAAGTGAAGTGATTTCTAACTTCAGGGTACTTTCATAGAAACTAAAGCTTTTCAAGAACTCCAGCGCCTTCTCTCCCTTCATATAAAATTGCATTATTATTACGTCGTTTTGGGATATGCAGTAAACCTTCTGATATTTGGGACTTGCAGTGGTCGCGAATAATTCATTAAAGTACACTTGGAATACATTTTCCTAAGTTGAAAGTAAGGCCTTTTTGAGACTGTTCAGCATTCTTCGTCTGGAGATTAATTAACTGCTAGATCATCCGGCACTTCACTTTTTGATCATGCTACCACGTAAATACATCTCATCTAGTCCTGTGAATGGAGTACACTGTGAATCAAATTTCTATTCCCAAAAGAAACTCCTCCTCTCCATGCCCTACTCAAATCGTACGAACTGGTCTCTCAAAGCCTTCCCTAGCTGAGGGTTAGAAGTAGAAAACGTTTCCAAAACCATAAAAGGAGAGAAGTCGATGGACGGAAGCCACTTGAGTACTTTGGATTGGAACTGGAGAGTATTTGATTATATCGGAGCTTCGTGATGTACAAATTGAAGTGTAAGATACACGTCTTTCTGATCTCCAGCCTTCCGAGAAATGAATCATCGTATGTTCTCTAAACAGTCATTGCTGCCTAAGCCTTGCAAACGTCATCTATCTACACTTGGTATCCTGATCTTTTGGCTCCTCAAATTTACTCCGATACTTCCCTGAACTTAAAATTATACAACTGTTTTGATGAATCATTCTATTCTAACATAGAGGCAAAGCCTTAACCCCTCACCTCTGCCTGGACCTGCATTACCATAGCAATCAATCCAGACCTGTAAAAATGGTTCGACGGTGTGTCAACCATCTAATTTGAAAAGAATTATTCTTGGACCCGAACAATCCACCTGAACCTAAAATTCTAGTTTCCAGTGGCGATTGCTTTCAAGACCGACACCTCAATTGTCAATCCAGGTCCGAATCCAACTACCAGTCCCCAGTCACAACCTTCTCCAGTTGTGCTGCTTTTCTTCTCAGCTGACCGCCTCCTCATCTGATCCAGTACGAACAGTACGCTAGCACCAGACATGTTTCCGTAGTTGTAGAGAACATCTCTAGTTGCCTCCATCTTCTCTGGCTTCAAGTTCAATGTTTTGGCCACTTCGTCAAGAATGGCACGACCTCCCGGGTGCACACACCAGAACAGATCATTCCAGCCGGGGGATCCTGCCACCTCGATAGCCTTGTTGAAGATGGGAAGAGTGTTTCTTGAGATCAGGCCGGGAACATCCTTCAGCAGATGGAAAATCAGGCCTGCCTCAGTCAGGCGTCCCTCAATGGCGCCATCACTCTCGGGCAGAATCGTCTCACCTGACCAGTGAATCTCAAACTGGGCTTTCTCCACCTCAGGGACCGGGTCAGAACCAATGACGAGGACTGCAGCTCCATCGCCGAAGATGGCTGAGCCCACAAGATTGTCCAGATGTTCTTCGTTGGGTGCTCGGAAGGTCACGCATGTAAGCTCGCTCACCACCGTCAATACTCGGGCGCCCTTGTTGTTCTCGGCCAGGTCCTTGGCCACACGCAGAACCGTGGCTCCTCCGAAGCACCCTTGCTGGTACAGCATGGTGCGTTTCACATTGGGATTCAGCCCCAAAAGTCTGGTGAGAGTGAGATCAGCTCCGGGCATGTTCACTCCGCTCGTGGTTGCGAAGACGACGTGAGTGATCTGGGATCTGGGTTGGCCCCATTCCGCCAAGGCCTCGACGGCTGCCTTCTCCGCCAGTCTGGGCACCTCTCTGATGGCAATGTCCTGTCGAACATCAAGAGATGGCTCCAGATAAGTGCACATCGAAGGGTTGGCTCTCAGAATGTCCTCTGTGCAGTGGAAGTACCTCTTGTTGATGCCCGAATTCTTGCCTGAACATAGAGAAGGACACGGAGAAGATGATCAGGCAGTGACTAAGGAATTGAGAATAGTTCGATACAAAACAGGTAGACAATAAATCAACTCTAGGTGAGGAAATTTTAGAGTAAATTGCATGAATCGAACGATCGAGAGTACAATGAGCACACTTACATATTCGAGCGAATTTGGCTTTGAGCTCAGTCTTGTGACTGGTGTTGGTGATGTCGAAAAAGAAGTCCGGGTATTCGCTTTGAGGAAAAGCTGTGGGAGGAGTAGCTTTGCCAATGGCTAGAACTGTTGCCGGTCCAACAGCCCTTGGGTGTCTGTAGGCAGCACCATTGCCGTTGCTTGCCATTTCTTCAGCTGAATCTACACTCTCGGAGCAAGTCGAAACGTCTGAGATCTACACTGTCAAATTTCGAGATATAGGAGGCGGATGTCCACCCTATTCACAGTGAATTGAAATTAAATGTAGCACAGATTTTGGAAACAATCGAACGTGGACCAAGCGAGTGGTGGTGATCTAGAATGTGACCTGGTGAGGTTAAGTACTGGTGACAAGTGCGGAGTTCAGTTCCCTCGGCCAGCCAGAGTTGAGTGGATGTAGTCTACAGACTCTGGTCAGCGGGATGGGTGAAGTCCTAACAACGGCGGCGCGGAAAGAGCGGGTTGACCCAGTATTCGCGGTCGCATTTCTCATACGGTCTACGTAGAGTTCTGATCCGGCGGGCCCGACCTCCTGCCACCGAATATTGCACACTGTACAACGAAGTCCTTGCGGTCAACACCGCAGCGTTCATCTTAATTTAGAACCGAGTGTGAGCGCTTAGCACGCAACTTCATACTATCAAAGTTCTTCACGACTTCAAGGGAGTGACCTTGAGTTTCCTCCTGGGTTCTCAAGGTACAACTTTTGGTAGAGCGACCATTTTCCCTTGAGAACCAAGAAGTTAAATTTTTAAGAAAACCATTCTATGATTTTAACAATATAATAAGTATTCTGTACAATTTATTAATTTAATTTAATATTAATTTAAATGATTTTTTAAATAGATTTTTAGAATAATCTTTTTAGTTAAATTCTGAAAAATATGTATTAAATTTATTTGAATGTTCATTGATATTATGTATAATCATGTATTTAATAGAAAAATATTTAAAATTTAGAAAAAATCTAAATTCAAATCATTTTGCATGCACACATGTACTACATCAAATAAATTTAAAATAGAATTTCAATTGAAATTTTATTCTTTCAATACTTAACTTCTAAACAATACGTAGCATAATTTTTGAAAAAAGTAACTCTATTATCATGTTTAATCAAAATGAAATATTAATTATCATTTCAAATCATTTAATACATTGTTTCACTTGATTACAAAAATAGAATTACAAAAAATAAAACTCATGATTTATTTGTAGAGTATAAAGAAGAGAATAATCAACGCAAAAACAAGGAAATACTGATACACACAGGACACAACATGTATGTGGTTCATCCCCTAACTAAGAATTATTAAGTTTCAAAGAACAAAAAACACTTGACTTCACATGCATATAGTGGAAGTTAACTCTTGACTAAGGTTCATATATGTAAACTAGCTAACTCGAGTTAAACACAAAATTAGAGTTCAATCCAACAATTTCCCCCTTAACTCATGTTGAAGAAACATTATACTCCGAAGTTCTAAAAGTAAATGTAACAAAAGATATTTCCTTAAACCAGAGTTAGCTAGGATTAAATTGTAACAAAAACTTGATAGAGTAATAATATAAATAGCTAATTGAAATATTAGTAAATTCTACCTACGATTCTCATCCTCATATACCTTCTCGCCTTGCCCATCATTAGAACAATATTAGACCTTATGCACACCATCAAATAAATGAGGTTGTCCACAGCTTTGTCATATGAAACATATGACATTTTTACTTGTGGTGCTTACTTTTTTTCTTTTTTCCGAAACAAGAAGTTTGAGAGATAGAAGACTAGTAATTTCACACTTTTAGAATAAGAATGCTACAAAGTAGAGTTAATAGTGGATTCTGTGGCAGAGGTTCAGTTAGTAGTGCTGGAATACATTAAGCTTCCTCTCTTTCAAGTTAGTGTTTTTACTTGTAGGCAGTAAAGTTGAATTAGA